ATGTGTCCAGCACAAGCGCCCAAAACCCGCTGACTTTTTGGCTCTAACATGGTCATAAGAAATATTAGCGATACTACATCTCCGGCTAAACCGTGTCGCAAGGGAGCAAACCAGAATCAGCCTCACCAAAAACAGGGTACCCTATGCGTCTTCTTTTATGGGACCCGCAATATGGATCTCGGTTGTCCTCTTGTTTTCCCTGTAGAAACACATTTCACCCCAAAAAGAAACTCATGTGTTCCTTCATTTTGGCCTTGCCATCCAAGGCTCAAAAGGCGGGAATCTTTCAAGGTGATGCTCAAAAAACAGGAACCCTGGAAAGAGCTATGAAGCCCAAGGTCCATTGGGGTCCGTTGAGATGGAACAAATCGGTGCTAAAACAAGGTGTTCCCTCAATGGGAACCCTGGAAAACAGGCGCACGAAAGACTCTCTCCACTTCTCCCGCCTCGATTCGGGTTGAAACCTCTCGATCTCTTAGCCTCCCAGGGCGGCTCCACCCCGAAAAGCCTAGAGAGTTACAATGGGCTGGGGTACTTGAAAAAAACACATCACTAGAAAGGGCCAAACAGTGTTCATCACGACTGAAAACTATTCATTAGTGTTTAGCCTCTACTGAGAGAATGTGCACTGTGATATCCCAAGGGTTGATCAAACACAATGGGCTCATCCTTTGTACCGGCGCGGGCCATCCTCATGACTGCTGCGCACAGTGGCAGGGCCGTTCCATTTGGGCATGTCCTCCGTCTCTCTCTCTCTCTCTTTTTTCTGGCGGGGGGACCCCGCAAATGGATTGCGATGTTCCTTTCGGCTTCCAATCCCAAAGATATCCTCAATAAACCGACAAACACACCTCCATAGTTTCGATCACTTCATCGCGCTTGAATCCGGCGATCGACCAAGGGCCAGGCTCTGGCAGTCAGTTTGCCTGCACGAAAAACCAGCTTCCAGTGCCCACATGGGTGTGTTTTGAACGGGGGCAAATGGATGGTTTCCCTTTGGTGTCCTTTTAGACCACACCCCTAAAAAAAGGTAATTGCCACGGAAAAAAATAAAACACAATTCAGAGTGGGGCCTTTGATGTTTAAACACCAACTATTTGAGCAGCATTCCTCATTCTGCGAGCCCTGAAGAATTGGGCACTTGTCAAAACAGGGGAGACCCCAATAATGGCGGCTTTCGTTTTGGTTTCCCTGTCGACCAATGCCAAAGAAGGGTAGTACCAACTCTGGGCGGCCGAGGCTTAAGGATTGCCTTGCAAAGTCTTCAATTTCGGGCCCACCTCGCGCATGCCCGCCGGCCGCCTGGGCTGGGCTGTGTTCGCAAGCAAAGCAATGAAAGTCCCTCCAAGAATCGTGAAAAGGTGTGGGTAGACTACTTGCCTGGAAGGATATATACATATAAGCCTGTACGCTCTAAGAGAGGCAGTGAGGCCGGAAGGATCAATCACCCTATGCCCTCCAGACATTTGGATGCGATCGATCTCTTTCTGACGGCCCCGGCGCGTCTCAGCAAAAACCTGGAAAGCTTTGCTTGGCTCGAACAAAAAGAAGTGGCGGGCCAACTCGCCCAAGAACCCGCAGAAAAGACAATATAGCCAAAACGCAACATAAGCCTTTGTCATGTGAGGGTCGAGGAATACAGAGCAAACCAAAAAACAAAAAGACTAAACGCACAAAACAACTGAAAAACAACGACAAGCAAAACGAGCGAAACAACAAAAGAGACACAACCATAAAAAAACACACAAACAAAACAACACAAACCAAAGAAGAAACAAGGGCAACAACAAAACAACGCCAACCAAGCAAAAACACCAAAATAACAGACAAAAACACAACAAAACAAATTAAACAAACACACAAAAACAGACAGAACATGCCGAAAACCAAACAACAAAACAAACACAAACGCCAAAACGACACCAACAAACAAGCAAATTCATGAACAACCTTAACGCAACAAAACACACAAGCAAACCACAAGCAATATACACAACATAACAAAACAACAGAAACAACAACACAGCAAAACAAACGATCAAGCTAACTAAAACTAAACTAGATAAACAATATACAATTCGCCTCGGCCCCCAGGGCCGGGAAGCGGTCAGACCCCTTCAGAACCTGTTCCCGATCTTTTTGGTCAAGCCCCTTCGACTTCGGCAGATTCTCCCTGACCCAGCAAATCCCACCCAGAACCTGTCCAATTCCCACAAAAGCCGAATCAATCGCCGAGGAAAAGCCGTAGAAGCTGGTCAAAATTTAAAATCCCCTTCTACAAGCCGATAGAAGCGGGTCAACTTCCCATCTAGCTCCGGTCAAATCCCGCTAGAAACCGCTCAACTTCCTCCTCTCAAAGCTGGTCCAACGTAAAACCGGTCGAATTCCCCTTCAGAAACCAATCGAATCTCCCCTAAAACTCCCTTGTAGAAACCTGTCAAACCCCCTCTGAAAACCGGTCCGACTCCCGTCAAATCAAAGCATAGAATATACCTCAAAGCCAGCCAAAAGCACACTGGCCAAGGCGGGCAACGCGAAGCGTTTACAATAAAGACAAACAACCAAGAAACAACAAAGTGCACAAACAAACACAACAGAACAACCAAAAAAGGCAAGCACAAAAAAGAAGACAACACCAAACCACAAACAAAACACGCACAAAAGAGACAAACAAAAAGCACAACAAACAAACAACACACAACAACACAACAAACCCTAAACATAACAAACACAAGACACGACAAACACAAAGCAAATCCAACATAATGCTCAACTAAATAAAACAAATAAACAAATGAATGCAAACCAACAACACAAAACAAACAAGCACACACACAAACACAAACCACAACACGCCAACACACACACACACAACAAAACAACACAAACCAAAGAAGAAACAAGGGCAACAACCAACGCCAACCAAGCAAAAACACCAAAATAACAGACAAAAACACAACAAAACAAATTAAACAAACACACAAAAACAGACAGAACAGGCCAAAACCAAACAACAAAACAAACACAAACGCCAAAACGACACCAACAAACAAGCAAATTCATGAACAACCTTAACGCAACAAAACACACAAGCAAAACACAAGCAATATACACAACATAACAAAACAACAGAAACAACAACACAGCAAAACAAACGATCAAGCTAACTAAAACTAAGCTAGATGAACAATATACAATTCGCCTCGGCCCCCAGGGCCGGGAAGCGGTCAGACCCCTTCAGAACCTGTTCCCGATCTTTTTGGTCAAGCCCCTTCGACTTCGGCAGATTCTCCCTGACCCAGCAAATCCCACCCAGAACCTGTCCAATTCCCACAAAAGCCGAATCAATCGCCGAGGAAAAGCCGTAGAAGCTGGTCAAAATTTAAAATCCCCTTCTACAAGCCGATAGAAGCGGGTCAACTTCCCATCTAGCTCCGGTCAAATCCCGCTAGAAACCGCTCAACTTCCTCCTCTCAAAGCTGGTCCAACGTAAAACCGGTCGAATTCCCCTTCAGAAACCAATCGAATCTCCCCTAAAACTCCCTTGTAGAAACCTGTCAAACCCCCTCTGAAAACCGGTCCGACTCCCGTCAAATCAAAGCACAGAATATACCTCAAAGCCAGCCAAAAGCACACTGGCCAAGGCGGGCAACGCGAAGCGTTTACAATAAAGACAAACAACCAAGAAACAACAAAGTGCACAAACAAACACAACAGAACAACCAAAAAAGGCAAGCACAAAAAAGAAGACAACACCAAACCACACAAACAAAACACGCACAAAAGAGACAAACAAAAAGCACAACAAACAAACAACACACAACAACACAACAAACACTAAACATAACAAACACAAGACACGACAAACACAAAGCAAATCCAACATGATGCTCGACTAAATAAAAATGCAAACCAACAACACAAAACAAACAAGCACACACACAAACACAAACCACAACACGCCAACACACGCACACATCAAAACACAAATCACAGCAACCACAACACACACAAAGACAACTAAACATCAAGCAAACAATGACCAATTAAACAAACAAGCCAAACTACACAAATACAGCACACAACCAAACTCAACAAAACAAAGCACACAGAATACACAAATGAACAATCATACAAACAACACAAACACGCCAAACCAACATAAACAAACAAAAACAAGCAAACACGCAACCAAACAAACAAACAACACTTCACCACAGACAAAGAACCACCGCTTGGCACATCTTCAGGCGACATATTGGGCGCGGTCCTCGGCAGTAAGGCGAAGGCTGGCGGAAGGCCTGGCCATTTCACAAGAAAAAAGTACTGCGGATGGCTGCAAATAAATTGAAACCACGGAGGCAAAAAAGTGTTGGATTTCTTTTTCTTTCAGGTTATGTTCAGATTATGTTCCTTCGGGCTCAAATTTCTGGAGTTTCGTTTTTGCAGGCTTCACGACCAAAGACCGGTTTCTTGGTTTCAAGGCCGGAGGTAGAGGCACTATTGTTTTCAACAGAAGCCAAAGGTTCAAATCTCCAAACCAATTCAATCCGCCTCTTGGTGAGCGGATTGGAATCTGAAAGAACCACACAAAAGCATCATAAAAGCAAGAACTACAGCTTGAACTGCTTCCTGCTTCGGAGATGCTGGCCAGACTTCAGTTGGCCTGTTGACACAAAGCCACGCGGTGTTGAATAGTTTAATGTCAGATTGTGCGTTCCCTCCTGCTGTCCGTACTTAAGTCGTTTAAACAATTCCGCCCAACTGTCCCGGAACAAGCTCACAGCAGCTCTCTTTTAACTGAAGTGAATCGATGCCAGGCCAGCTTGGTTCCATGTCCAGCCGAAACATAGCACCCTATCGTCTGCGTCGGCCAAGCACCGACGCAGGACACGGCCTGCGTTGGGCCGGACAGTTGGTCCGTTGGCCAATTGGGCCGCTGGCATCAGACAGTTGGTCACGAGCACTCCAAAACGATCACTTGGTCTCGAGCAATAAGCTCACTTCCTTGGTAAGCTCGCGCACGGCGTACGAAACACCGCTGTAAACTACTGGTGAACAGCCTCTCTCTGGACGAAACAACAGTCCTAGCACCAAGGAAATTGTTTATACCCATCTTGCCCTCCAAATGGGCGCAACAATGGTGTATACATGTGTGTATATATATATATGTATATGTATATATATTAGCTGCGTGTGAGTGTGAGTTCTTTGAAGGCATCTTTCTCGGGGGCAACCAAAAGGCTCACCCATCCCGGGGGTCCGAATCCCGGGTTTGACACAGCTACATGCAGTGCGTGGGAAAGAGGTGGAGTCAACGAGCCAGGCTTCCAGATCCGTCAGCAGCACCAAGAAGGCCGTGAACAAGCGGCCTAAGCGGGTTGCGCGTCACTGAACACACCCGATGAGAAGCCACACGAATATCCAGACGTAGCAAGAGGCAGAGCAAACCAATATCAGCATCAGCAAGTACGTACATGTCTAATTTGAGAGAATTTACCAAACCAAACAAGCAACACGCCAACAACACAACATAGCCAACAAGAAGCAACACCATAACATACATCGCGCTGTACAGCAGACGCACCAACAAAAACAACATTGGCAAAGGCATCCTTGGTGCCTTTCGCACGGGATTCTCTCGCGGTCCGCCGTTGGGCGGTTTACCTGTGATTTCCTTTTGGCTCACTTGCAAAGGACAAGGAATCAACGGCAAACCCTTTGGGACCTTGACTAAAAATGGGCCGAAAGGGTGTGTTTTCAAAAGCAACAATGGAAAAGAACTGAGGAGACGAGATTTACCGATGTTCCCAGCTGTTGTGAGACCCAAATGCCTGAAAGGACCTGTCGATTCGATCAGTCAGTTCAATTTCCCCCTCCTCCAAGAACAAGGGTGGTTCAAGCAGGTCATGATTTGGGACATCGCCAAGTCTTTTTAGTGCGCACCACCCCGCAGCCGTGGCAGAACCCCGGTGGAACCCTGGTAAAACCCCGGTGGAACCCTGGTGGAACCCTGGTGGAACGCTCGTGGAACCTTACTTCAGGGCCGCCCCGGGCCACCCTATCTGGGATGAGACCCCAAAGCTTTCAGCTGTTGGGGGGAAAATGGTGCTCATTTCAACGGACTCACTCTCACTAGCCCACGATCACTTTGACCCAGCGCAGTGACCCTGGTTCACCAAACAAAATTAGCGGGGAACTCACCAAAAAAGAGACGTCGATGAAATCGGGGAGCCTGATGTCCCTCTTTCCGGGGACCATTCATTCTTCACGGAAACCATTCAAATTGGAATGGTCCACCTTTCTTCCCACTCGTGGCAATCAGGGAGGTTCCCCAAAAGGAAAGGGACAGTCTTGAACACTCTCTCGTCAGATTCCATGGAGGGTACTTGGCTTGGGTGTTCGGCCAAGCAAGCAAAAGGTTGGCAACCTAGGCTGAACACCCTTCAAGTAACATCTCATACATGTTGCCTTTTGGAAAAATAGATGGCCCTTGTAAATGGAATAAACCCCATCTAAACCAGCGCCATCTATTTTTAACCAAACTAACCTAAAAAGGACACCTATGATCTCATATCTAATCTTTACATAATTGATCATAATTGTACAGAACATGTTTGGATCCAGGACATCGACGGATTCGACTGGTAAGTCAAGCTTGAACTCATCGGAAAGTTTGGAACCATCGATGTTCAACCGAACTCACCTCCGAAAGCACCCAAAGTGCCTTTTTGTTGAGTGCCTAATCTTTCCCCAAACAAGCATTTATGTTAAGTCCTGCTGGGGTGAGGCCAACGTTGAGACCTGTGGATGCATAAAAACCTGCGCAAGTGGGAATGGATGAGCTCCTATGAACGGACCTACCCTTCTCAGTTCTTGCCGACTATCCCGTACCCATACGCGAGCTACGGCCCACGACAAGATTCCGAAGCCGAAAGCTAAAGTGCCTCCCGAGAATTTAACGCAGATGAAAGTGGAGCTCGAAAGGTTGAAAGTGAACAAGCTCCAGCTCAAAGAACGCATCGTCGTGGCCCAACGCCGACATGAAAACAGTTCCCCTTCCGCCGCGCCTTGCGCACAGGCATTCCGTGTGCACTGTCGCGCAGGAAGCTGGCCCACAGGGTGCGGTGACGTCGGAAGTGCCCCACGTTGTGCCCGTGAAAAGGGCACTGTTCATGGTGGCCCTTCTTCGTGTGCACACCAAGACAGTTTGGGCAAACCGACATTGCCCGGAGGTGCTGGGAGCACTTCCAGCAGTGACAGGTGAACTCATTGAATATCACCGCCAGCCGGTCGCACTCTGCAATATGCTGTCGGAGCCACAAGCGCAGCACCCTTGACGCTTCTCGGCAGTCCTCGAACAGAGGGCGGTCACCGCCAGCCAATGCGTCCGGGTGGCTTATCGCGGCACATTGGCTCAACCGCTGGCCGACCAAGCTCAGCCACTCATGACTGGGGCTCTGGAAAAGCGTTGCCATCTCCACCCCAAGCAGGACGTCCGCCAAAAAAGCTTCGTCAGCAATAATGACATGGCTCGTAGCTGGCGCTTCCCGGAGGCATTTCCTCCCCAGCGTCCAGGACCAAGTCCTCTAGAGGCGCAGGTCATCCTTTGACTCACTTTGCCCGGCGGCGGCCACAAACAATCGTACCCACATCCACGGAGCCATCACTTCGGTGTTTGTGAGTTCTAGCGTGTCTATTCTCTCGAGCTGGAAAGGCTGCGGGGTCAGTCTGCCAACACGCGAGCGGCACATGGTTGACACAGAGACAAGAGCGGGCGGGCAACCAACCAGCAGGCAACCAAACAAGCAACTAGCCAGACAACCAGCCAGGCAACCCAACCAGACAACCAGCCAGACAACCAACCAAGCAACCAGCCAAGCAACCAGCCAAGCAACCAAACAACCAACCAGCCAGACGACCAGCAAACCAGACAACCAGCCAGGCAACCAAGGGCAAGAATTTCTCCAAGAGCAACTTCACAGGTGAAGGCAAGGGCAAGAACAAGAGCACTATGAATGACATGTCCACGAAGCAAGAGGCAAGTACGGAAGATTCACATCCCCATGGCCATACCATATGAACGAGCACGGTGATCTTCCGATGGATGTTGAGATTTTCCTTTCGAGCCGCAATGACGGCGCTAACTAGGTACATGTTTCGGACGGCTGAAGTTTTGAGGAGCAATTCTGGGGACAACTTTGGGGACAACCTTGGGGACAAGTTTGGGGGACAATGTTGGGCACAGAGTAGGGGACGAGTTGGGGACAACTTTGGGACGAGTTTGGGAATAACTTGTACGCCAAGTAAAGAAGCTTGTTCAGTGAGCTTTTTGCTTGCTGTCTTGATTTAAATATGTTTGCTGCAACTCGTTCCATGCCATCTGTCCCAAAACAAAACAATCACCTCCACCTGGCTGCATAGCACGCTGGCTCAGCTTTCCGCCCATCGTCGCACCCAGTCTCACAAACATGCTACTTTCCTAGATCAATGAATCAGCAGGGAATGCATTCCAATGGAATGCTTGCAACAAGGTTGTCAATTTCCCTTCATTGTTTACATGTATAAGACCGTGTTAATGTTCTGACAATGTGTTCGATGAAGTCACTTGATCAAGGAATGGATTGCCAAGAAATATCATGAAGTGTAGAAGTGTCACTACTTGGATTGAATGTTATGAAGTCATTAAATGCCTTTTCATTGTTATCTCGCTGTTCGAGGTGAAGCCTTGACACTTCTGAAATTAAAGTGTACAACAAAAAGCAGCTGCAAACGCTGTAAAACCATCCCAGCCTTCAGATCGGGTTTCTGGATTTTGTTCATAGGGAACCACGGATTTTGCCAATCCACAGTCGCCACCTCCCCATGAAAAACACAGATGGGCAACCAACACGGACCCCCGCCCCCCCACATAAACCCCCCCAACCCCCGCCACCCCAACCCCCCCCACCCCCCCACATCCTACCCCCGCCCCACCCCCCCAAGGTGATGTCTCACCCCCACCCCCCAACCCCACCCCCTACCCCCCAGGTGATCACCGGAACCGCTCGAGCTGAAACCCAACCCGAGGAGCTGAGCAGGCGGTCCCGGCGCTGGGAGCTCTTGGAGCTGCTCAAGAGCTGGCCTCGCCCCGTGGCGTTTGAACAAAAATCTGGAAGACTTCCAAACACGCACAGGTACGGCACCGAAACGGGGCCAAAAAGGGCCATAGATTCGACAACCCGCATGGATTCGTGGAATCTTTGCAATGTGATGGTAGTTTCAAACTGGACAAAATCCATGCCAGACCGGTTGGTTGATGCTAAATCCCAGTATTCAAATCAGGGTTCATCCATTGGTGCGACATGGATTTTATCCACAGGATATCGAAAAGCGTACAATGAACCTTAGGGGTTCGGATCAATGGAACCTTTCTGGGGGGCAGGGGGACCCTCATGTCTCCGAAAGCAGGAATCCACGGGTCAGTTCACCCCAACTAGGTATCCCACCTAGATATGTTTTGCAAAATCCATGGATGCCGCTGGCTAAATGATTGGAAGAAAACGGACGATGGTGATCATGGTGATGTAGTTTGAACCACAATAAACCCAAAGGACGATGTCACCAATGTCCACAAAGGAAAGCACAAAACACCTAGTGCCGAAGTAAACACAAAGCGGGGGCATAGTCCTTCCGGCGGGCGACAATCAACAGAAAAGCACATGTCAGCGCGCCATAAGCATGATGTATCCCGTGTTGTGTCGATTTTAACACCATGTTGGTTGCTTTATCCTTGAGCTCGTGTGGTTCAAACTAGATGTATTTCACCGCTGTTGATTTGCTTCCGATCTTTTTATGAGCATCACTACCATCCACAACCTGCTCTGCCAATTCCAAATTAACTTCTAATCTCTTTAGGATCTGTGGGAATATGCCCCACTTCGCACAATCCACTTTTAGCAGGGGTCAACTTCCGGTCAACATGGGACGTGCCCCTCGTTTCCTCACGAGGGAAAAGAAACACTTGACTGTGCCCCCTGGTATTGTTGGACATTTTAGTTCACCCATTTCCTGCCCAAGTGGCCCATACGCTGCACATTTTGGGCGAACCTCACATAGGTGTATCTTTCTTCAAGGGCACATTTGGGTGGTTTTAATGGAAAGCAACGGCACACCCAGCCCATTTCGGGGTCCCGGCTTTTAAGACACACCCATGGCCCACATGGCGTGCTTCTCCATTGTCCGGCTTTCTGTTTTTGTTTCGTTTTTTTTCCGCTGAACTTCCCCTCACCGACCGTAGAGTTCGCGTCAGGCGAATCCGGCGAATCGGCCAGGCCTCCGCCAGCCTTCTGCCGGGAGGTGATGACCATGGAAAGCAAGGCCAAGGCGCGGAAGTAGATGCCCAACCTACACGAAACTCACTTGGAAAGTATGGCAAAATTGGCAAAATATCGCAAAATGGCTGCAAAAAACCGGTACTGAAATGGGTTGCCCTGTGGAAACATGGACCAGAACCTGCGGTTTGCCCCTCCCCTTTAATTTTCACCCACACATGGCAAAATTGTTGGTTTTCGCAAAGGTTCAACTTCGGCAAAATGGGGCTCTAACCCAGAGGCTCCTGGGGCCCTCTCCGATCGATAAGCTTCGGCTTTCAATGGAAGGCCCGGACCCCGAAGCATACCCCGCGGTGTTGAGTCTCAAAACCTGGCTCTTTCAGGGCCGAAATCAATCAGAAGCCTCTGGGAACGGTTGGCCCGGCAAACTTGGTGGAAGAGGGATAAGTGATTCCCAGCTTCCCCTAGTGGTTGGACCATTCCAAACCATCAATTGAGGGGAACCTGATATGGCAAGCCATGGAACCGCGGATGTGATACGCGCCAAATGCTTCGGGCTCAGAGTGGGTTAGGATGGGTTTAGCTGCGTTTAGCTTTGTTCAAACATGGATTAAGGATTCAGGATTGAAGATTGTCTTTCCTGAAATCTGTGATACCACGGGGCCAAATGGAAGTTTGCGGTGGATGCCAACGAAATATAAAAGCGTGGCAACAAATTGGAACCCTCAAATTACTGCAATTGACAGGACATTGACCTTTCAGCCCTGATGGAAGGGCTGCAAATGGCTTTCCAGATCTATTCTGGCTTTTGTTGGTCAGGACTCCCATGGTTCTGGACATTCCCCTGTGAGTGTCTCATGTTCAAGGGGAGTCCCTTGGTGTCATTAACACACGCACCCAAAAACAGACATGGCTGTCCGGCACGCAGCTAAACCAAGCCCAAAGGAGAACAACAAAAAAACAAAGAGTTGAACGCCTCAGAGTGGCAAAACAATATCTGTGTGCATAGGTGCTTGGTAAAATAGATGGCCCTTCTACTAGAACAACGCCAGTCGAAACCAGCGCCATCTAACCAATCTAACCAATCAACAGGACACGAAAATTTGTGCTTAGCCCCACTAGCTGCACGTTCTTTTGGCTGCACCCCGATTTTCACCATTTCCTCGCCAGACAAGCATGGAACCCCGAAACCATCCGTGTGGAGATCCTCCTTTTGGAGATCTTTGTGGTTGGGAGTTCCATTTCCTCCATTTGCTTAAGCCCCTGGAAAACATGGAGATATTCCCAGTAGTGATAGATTCTCGTCAAAACCAGCAGGGATGTTTTCCTTAAAACCAAAAAAATATCCTCAACTAAATGGACGTTCATTTGCAGGGGCGCAACTCGGATGCCAAACGCCCGCATTCCCTCCTCGCCGCTTTGGCCCATGAGGCTCCGGCAGCAGCAGCTGCGTGACATCGCAGACGAAGGCATTGGGCGGACGGAAGTCCGCGCACTTGGTATCGCCTCAGCGAAAAAAACACGCCGCCCTCCCGCCCTTTGGACCCGGGACCCGGGGTTGGTCTCATGGAAAAACTGCCCAAAAATGGCTAGTTCCCCCTTGCGCTTGCCTTGCAAACCGGAAAAAGACACATCGCACCCAACAAGGGGGCACGCGCCTGCTCGCGCGCATGGCTGCCCTTCCCAGTCAGAGCGGATGCTGCTGATGCCGCGCGTCCAGCCTGTCGACCGAATCAATCCACAAAGCTCCTTGAAGCCCAAAGATCTCCATCTGTTTTGCAGCTCTGGATATAACATATGACCTGTTGATGTAGATATGCGTTACGTGCTAGGGGCGTTTTCTGAATACAGTTGCAAGTCCAGCTGGAAGACTCGGCCGAATATGTGTCCCAGAGTTCAGATCGAACATTTGAGGTGGTTTCATGCAAGGAACACTCTCAAAGTCCATTCGTTAAAATCGGTGGTCAAAAAAAGAAAAAGAAACTCCTCTTCCTTGAGCCCACGCAAAACAAATACCTGGCTTCCTTTTGGTTCCCTTCAAACCCACCAACACAGGGTTCCCCCCCCAAAAAAAAAACCGGACGCACCCGTTTTGAGGACCCCCCCACCCCCAAAAAAAAGAAACAAACGCGGCAACTCTGCGGCGAATGGTATGGAGTCCTTGCGAGCGAATGGGCCCCGCCTGTGTTGAGGACCCACTCCAAGGGGAAGCCGCGCTCTTGCAGCGGCCCTTCCGCGCCCAGCTGCACCTAGGAACTGAACATGGGCCTCCATTTGTTTTTTTTTGTCATGGATAAAAAAGGACATGTATATATATATATATTTATATTTGTTTATTTATTTCTAATGGTGAATTCGATTCCCTTTAAAAGTAACAAAGAAATACAAAACAGTCTTAAGCAGATGGAAGTGGGTGTTGAACCCAGGCTTTCTTGAAGGAAGCCACGTGTGGATCTTCCAAATCAGCTGGCACCGGATATCAACTCCCAAAACAAGAGAGACTCGGATCCCCAAGGCCTACGTCACGGCGCGCCGCTTTTTTTCAACCTGAGCTTGCCATGAAATGGCAGAGCCCATCCCTCGGACCAGGCCTGGCCATCCACTGCCCCAATGTCTGGAATCCATCCATCCCCATGGACCTATCCTATCCATTAAGAAACTCATATCCATGCCCCCAAATCAGCCATCCATCCCAATAAATCCACTGGGAGGCCATCAAAGCGCTATCCAAACGCGCGATTGTGCGATGGGCACAGGCAACGGTGTGACAAGTCACAATGGGGTTCCCGAAGCTCGAGTGCTTATTCACCATGTGGTCGTACATCAGGAAACCTGAGCCGAGAAGGTGCGCTGGCTCTTGGCGCGACATGAACACCTATAAATGCGTGTATATATATATATATGCAACGCCCCCCCCCTGGTGCCTAGGTGTTGCTTGAGTTCAGCGCGCAGGCTGTAGAGTGTAGATTTGCTTGCAATAGATTTTAAGCACAGACGAATGGGCTTGCAGTCCATCATGGCAAGATCCGAAATGTCCCAATATGATACCCTTTCCAAATAGGACTTTACTTCAACTAGAATGGGAATTTTGAATATATTTTGGTTAGGATATAGTTTTCAAAAATGTGTTTATGCTCAACATTGCTGAACTACAGCTTATATATGCAAATCATTTCCAAATAGGAGCTACATGAGAAAACAAGTATAGTTTTGGGCAAACTCCAACTAATCTTCAACAAAAGATTGTTAGGAGTCTATTCCCAAATCTAATCTAAGTGTTAGATATAATCTGATACGAACACAACTCAACTAGCTTTTCATAATAACAATTACATAGAGACTAATTCTTAATTTAGTTCGTATCAAATATGGCTAAACATTTAAGGGACTTCTACAAGGAAATCAAAATACAATCTGTGTTATTTATATCCTGGCCCTTTTGCAGCATAAGAAAGGTCCGAAATGAAACTTGTTAGACGGTGTTCCAATAGGAAATTTCAAGGGAAGAGAGGTTCAAATTCTAAAACTATCTCGAAACAGGGATTCTAGCCGAATCAGTTGTACTTAAAGTTCTATTTGCACAGGACAACAAAATTCGTTCAGTCGATCTCAAAAGGGCGGAGGTAGTAGATGAGCAAATGTGGAGAGGTAGTTCAAGGGGTGGGTGACGGTGTGTGAACATACATATGTATATATACATATAGATATACATACAAACATATATAGTACCCCTAATGATCCTGCGTCTCTTTAAAACAGTGTAAAATAGAGCATTGCACCTACCTTTGTTTACCTCCTGGAAAAGGGTCAACATGCTTAATAGCTAACATGAAGCAAACCGCTCACCAAAAGCACTTGAAAGTTTGTCTAACTAATAACTTGAAAGTGTTTCCACTGGATCGCTAAGCACTTGAAAGTATTTTACCACTGGATGGAAAAACAAGATTAAGATTACACAGAACACTTTCCTGAGAATTGTCAATCCTGGCCAAACTCAAACAACATTCAAGTTATTCTCACACTTGAAAGTGCTTTACCACTGGATTGAGGATTCAATATCGAGGATTGCACAAACAACAACTTTCCTGAGAATCATCCATCCTGGTGAAACCCGAAAAATGAACAAGTTGTTCTAAAACTTCGAACGCATTGGACCACTGGATTGAAGATTGACATATTTCACGGAAAGCTTTTCCGAGAATCTTGCTGAACACCGAGAGTATTGGGACAAACCTAAAAACAAACTGGGATTCAATATTCAAGATTCAAGATTCCCAGAAAAAAAGATTATATTGAAGTCTTGAATCTTGAATCCCTGATATATATATATATATATTTAAAGCAAACAAATGAGATTCAAGATTCAAGAATTAAAAATAATATTTTTCTGGGAATCTTGAATCTTAAGTCTTGAATCCCAGATTCTGAAAAACAAAATGGGACACAGGATTCAATATTCCAGGATTCCAAAAAAACATGTTTTGAAGTCTTAAATCTTGAATTCCAGATTGTCACATTGAACGTCTCCCAGCAATCTTGGGTCCAGAATTCTCAATTGTAGAATTGTGGCCACCCCCCTTCCTTGGTGCCCAAGTTTGGCCAACAAAATGCAAAATTACCTGAAACAAGGACTGAATTCAAGCAACACCTAGGCACTAGAGGGGGGAGGGGGGCGTACCATATATATATATATATAAATACAGAACGGGAATAGCATGTCTCAGCAGCAATTTCGAGTCCAAGCATCCATATGCCCAGCGCAGCGGTGACAAGGCCATCAACATGGTGCCAAGGTGAAATGGCACGTGGATCAAATCTCCTGGCAGGTGTTTGGTCAACAGCAACCTCCAATGGTCATAGGAAAGCAAAAAGCGCCCGGCGTTGACTTCAAATTTTGCCCCAATGAAGAAAAAGGGGCACCACTCAAAAACAAACCCAGAAGTTCCGTCTACATTCGCTGCAGAAAGGGAGCTATGGATCAATATAGGGGAGCCTCAGTGTTCCTGTTCGCTTCCCTCTATCCCAACCTGAAAGGGGCTCCCAAAAGGCACTCTCATGAATTCTAAAACGGGTGTGGCCAAAAATTAAAGCACTAGGGTTCCACGTTTTTTTTGTGTGTGGCTCCATTTCCCAAGGTGCGACTGTTGGGGAATTCCCAGGTTTTGAGCCACAGCCATAGCTGACTTTCCGAGGATCGGAAGGGAGGGTTGCACCCTGCCAGCAGAAAGGAGAGAAACGAGATCACCACAGCCATCATCTGGGCCGTGTCGGGCTCCATGAAGATACCTCGATCCGCTAAGCCCAGTGATTCCACGTCACCCTGGAGGTAACCAAAAGGTTTCCCGGCCAATCGAAAACTCAACCGGAAAATGGTTGGTGTCCTATTATAGTGGGAAAAACATCTGGAAATACAAGGGGGTCACCTTTTGGCGCCACTAAAAATGGGAACCCAAAACAAAAAGGAAAACCAAAAGGTTGCAACTTAGATACTGCAGATGTAGTTCATGCCAAAGGCCGCATAGACAAAGCAGAAGGACACCTCGGGAGTTTTCTGAAAGCGGCCCTTGCCTTTCGCGCACCTGCCAAAACGGGCGCCATGGGCCCCTGGTCCCTGCATTTCCTCGTGCCAGATGCAGTCGAAGCGCCCAAAAGACGGTGTGGTGACTGCACTGCAAAGGGCCCAGGGGCCAGTAGATGGCGGTGAAAAAGACCGTAGCCAGCAGCACTTCGGCCAAAGCAGTGATGTCCCTGCCGAAGAAGCAGAGGAAGGTATTCCTAAGCAGGGACTTATGGAACACCACTGTCTGGATCCCCTTCCCCCCCACCCACGGATATCGAATCTTTTGCTAACTAACCAACCTTCGAATTCTTATGGGGCGCCACTTGACAACCAAATCCTAACATTAGGATCATGTCGACTGTCGCTTGGGTGCTCAAAGTCAGAAACTGAGGCCCGCTGCCTCCCTTTCACCTAGTGGGGGGTGACTTTGACGATAGTTAATGAAGTGATTAGCGTCTCACGGTGCCCCTTTCCAGAACTCCAAGAACCCTTATAAACTTCATCGCAACCGTTTCCCGTGATGGGGAAATCCTTCCTGGCTAAGCATGCTCGTATATCACACCAGAACCAAGTTCTAAGGATGGATTGACCACACCACTTGATCACTTTACAGGGAATTCCCGTCATATCACCGAAAATGGCCATAAGACCCTGTATGGGTGTCTGTTTTCAGGGGGGCGGACTTCGGTGATCCTTTTGGTTTGCCTGAAAAATCCACCAACAATATGGGTACCAAATCCAAAAAAAGACCCACCCAAATGTTGAGTAGGAGTGGGCGTATCCTCCACAGCTCCCCATCTCCAAAAGCTTGCGGGTGCCCAGTAGGGAATGACCCAGGGTGTTGGGCATGAAGCCCTTCAAGGAAGCCACCAGTTGGAGGGATCTTGGGGTTATTCCCTCATTCCCTGCTGAGAACAACCAACAAAAACGCCCTCTTTGAGTGGAAAACCTCCACGCCTTTCAAATGGATGTGGCTCAAAAAGCCGGTACCCAAAATGGAACCCTGGTAAGTGGAAACATGGACCAAAGCCTGCGGTTTGCCCCTCCTGTTTAATTTTGACCCACAGCCAAATGAGCATGGGTCAAAATTAAACCATCAGGAGAAGGCATTTTTTGGTCCATGTTTCCATTTACCATGGATTTGGGCACATATTTTTTGACCCACAGCCAAATGGAAGCCCTCCACCAAACGAAGTCCTTGAGGAAAACCTCGACCCGAGGCAAGGATTTTCTTCGGAGGCGCAGGCCGGCACCGGCCTCGCGCCAGGCCATGAACCGCTCCCGGCCACCGAAGACCCGCTGTGCCGCCACACCCTGGCAGTGTTCCTCAAATATACATATATATATATATATATATCAGTATATACACACATTATACCGCATATCCAGTAACCGTGTATATGTATATTACATCTATACACATATGCACACACACACATATTCGCATACATGTGAGGTCTTGAGATAGTATGTACACACATATGCCGTTTCAGCATTATCCGAAAGCACATACGCTGTTTTTCGAGCTCTGGGAGGTTGTGTGCCTGGGTCAAGAGCAGCAGGAAGAGCGCCAGCAATGGGTGCCTCGGAGTCAACGGTTTCCAGAAGGAAGACGTAGTGATTGGAAATTCAAGACTCTGAATACGCATGTGGTTAACCACCAATGAGTAATTCAACAAATAAGTAAACAATTAAATATGATAATATTAGTGATATATAAATAAGTAAGTAGCTGTCACTGTAGTGCTTGCTTGATCGGTATATATAGTATAGTTTGACCCTCGTGAACAACATGTGGGAAAGCCGCAAAAAAGCACAAACACAAACGTGCAAATAAACAATCGAACAAGCAAACAAACAAACAAACAAACAAGCAAGCAAGCAAGCAAACAGACAGACAGACAGACAGACAGACAGACAGACAGACAGACAAACAAACAGACGCAGACGAAGAAACAAACAAGAGAAACAAACAAACAAGAGAAACAAACAATTAGAAACACACACACACAGAAGCAAGCAAACCTCAAACAAACAAAGAAACAAAGAAACAAGCCAGCAAAGAAACAATGAAACAAAGAAACAAAGAAACAACCAAACAAACAAATAAACAAGCAAACAAACAAACAAACAAGCAAACAAACACACTCACACACACACATTACACATGTATTGGCCATGGTCAAAACTCCCGACGTTGTCGTGTTGTCATTGTTCACAGGGAATCCTCAGGCTTGATTGCGACAAAGTCACTCTGGGAACAACGAAATTCACCCAAGTCTGCCCGTATGCATACCATGTGGATGGGGTATGGCCGAATCGGCGCGTTTTGTCTCCGGCCAAATGTGGAGTTGGATGAAGCATACAGACTTGTCTTGCGCTGAGAACTCCTGAAAGGCTTGTGATCTATGAAACACGTGAGGACGCTTAGAATGAATGGTTGCTATCCTTTCCTGCTTGTAAACTACTCTAATTTGCCCAGATGTTCTATTGGATGGACCCTAATGATTGTAATTGAAAGCCAGTATTGTCCTCCTTTGTTGGTATGTTGAAATTGGGAATACTCCTTTGCCTCTTGGATCGGGGCATCGGTTCATTCGCCTTCATCAGTTTCAGGACTAGCTCCAAGAAGAACCAAGGCCAGGAACTATCAAGCTCCATCCATGATACCGCCCAAGCTCAAACGCGTTCGCATATGCAACTCATGATACTTCGCCAACCAAACATAATTGTGATACGAGCCGCAAAGGAAGCCTTTGAGGTCGCAAACCCCGCTGTCGCAACAACTTGCCTCATGGTTAGCTGGTTTTACTCCACATAGGGACCATGGGATAACCCACCTACCAAGTGGGCTTTTTCATCCACAGAAATCTTCCTCAAAAGGTCTACTTTCCAGCAATCAACAAACAAAGCCAAAAACTTGCCCATCCCTTCGTCCCCTTCACTTTCCACGCGCTCGCCCTTGCCAAAACCCCCATTTTGGCGCCCGAGACACACCAGTTCTTGGCTGGGAGTCTTTGCTGGCGCACAAACGCAATAGATCACCAGCCCAAAGACCAAGAGGAGGTTGTTCCACAGCACCTCCAAGAGCTGTCCCAAGGTTCCCAAATCCACTGGTTTTTCTTTGGGTTCTGGAGTGCAACAAACCTCTCCAAATGGTGTCACAGGTTTCGCAAGCTTTGGACCACCAGAAGTTCTTTCACTTTCTCTTTGGCTTCTGGAGTAGATTTCCCTTTGGCGGCTCCCTTTCAGACCCGTTCCTTCCACAAACCTCATCCAACAAAGAAGGCATACACATTCATTGTATCCCCCTTCCCGGGCCAAGCGCAAACATGTCTCAAATCCAACTCTAAACCTCAAACACCTAAAAGTCCAGAGGTATGGCCCGGTATGGCTGCGAACCCCGCGGCAAAACTTACGTCTTAACGAACCCTCCAAGGGCCTGGAGGCGGTCCCTTTGGAGCTGCACGGCCGCCCGCTTCATGTGCACGAAGATCTCGTCGCCCCAGCTGCAGGTGCCCAAGCCCAGCGCCGGCAGCGGCACCTCCATCTTGTGCCGCGACACCTTTCGAGGAGTCCGCGAGTCCGCGAAGCCGTCCGTCCGGACTCGCGCGAGTAAACAACCTGATTTGAAATCCAAGCAGGGGGGTCGCAGTCGCGCAAAAAAGAGAGCACCAGAAAGCTTCTTGGCTTTAGACAACAATGCCAAACACAGAACCGAACAGTACTCTTAAAAGTTTCTGTATGCCAGTGACCCCGAACACCCCAAACACCGAATGGGCATGTAACCTGCATGGCTGCACATACTGGCTGACATATCCCAGTTTCCCTGGGCGGGGGGGGGGGGGGGTAGCGGAAATAATACCGCAGGTAGGGTCAGAATCCGCCCCCATATTCCATGCTGAAGCTCTCACATCATTGGGATTTGTCTAGCAAAGCATTCCAAAGCCACCTTCCAGCTCGCATCCGCACATTAGCTGCGCAGCTACTCAAAACTGCTCCATGAATCCCTTTTGGGGAAATGACCCCTTTTTGGGGTGCCAGGGAGCTCTCTTTGGAACACTGACATTTGTAGAAATCAGCACGGACGGGGGGTTCCTCCTTGCGCCTTGCCCAAAGGGCTTGGAATTGAAAGGATGTCCTTTCAGGGTCACAAGTATGGATCAAAATGGCGATGCTGTCAGAAACAAACTACCAAACCCTGAGTTAACCGACAGTCCTGGTGCAAAACAGCTCAGTGCCAGAAATACACTCTCTTACCCTGGAATCCATTGCATCAAACCCGAAGTCGTTAGCTGTGGGTGCCTGGGCACAAGTCTGGGCTACACAACACATAGTATCTGATTTCACTCCGTACTGTGGATGGACGAAATCCTGCACCACCTAAGAAACCCTGGAATGACGAATACCAACAAACAATGGGCTCCCATGGTTGCAACATGGTGCAAAATGAGTTTTGTCCATCCACAGTAAATTTGGTGAACTTTAAGCACCAATTTAGTCAACCTGACAAACTCACATGTTTTTTTTTTCAGGAGACCCCCATGTGTCACTCCGGCTCCGTCCGTCAGAAAAAGAAGAAAAAAGTCTCCCACCTGGTAGGCCTCTCGTCTCAGGGACCAAAGGTCTGCTAAGGACTGGCCAAAGCTTTTGAAGCTCCGCATGTCGATGCCGTCGAGCTTCATCTGGCCTCTGTCCATCATGTCCTCAGGTGTTTCCCCTGCTGAAAATTACTCCCCAGATTGACATGGAACCCAACAAGCCACCATTGGAGCTTTGCGGGACCCACTTTTGGGGTTCCATATTAATTTGTAGGGAGTATTCACCTATGCGTGCGTTGGAGCTGTGGGCGTGTAAGTCACCAGCAGGCGCGAGTCACTAGTTTGAATAAATACCCAAAACAACACCCAGGCAGGCCAAATAACACCCGTTCCAAGGGTATTGCAAACAAACAATCAACAAATTTCAAACAAACCAAGAAACCAAGCAACCAAGCAACCAACCAACAAACAAGCAAACAGCAATCCAACCAACAACACAAGCAAGCAAGCAAGCAAGCAAGCAAGCAAGCAAGCAAGCAAGCCAGCCAGCCAGCCAGCCAGCCAGCCAGCCAGCCAGCCAGCCAGCCAGCAACCACAAGAAACGGCCTTACACCAAGGCGAAATTGCCCCATGATTCACGGAGCAAAAAACAACCTGGTGGTGCAAGGCACAGCATAATACGCTAGATATGCCACTTCGGATTGCCTCACGTGCCTCACCAAGTCACTGCAGCAGCATCCAAGGTGATGGAGTCCAAGAAGATATCTGCCGGGTTGGCCTTCTCCGGGAATCGCACACTGAGCTGCTCCGCGAAGTACTTCTCCACCTCTTTCGTGGGCCCGGAGTACCTTTCGTTGCCTCCTTGCGAAAAGGGGAAATAGCTGGATACGTCAAACACCCCGAAATTAAGCGAGGACCATTTTTGTTGGATACAACAAATCCCTCTCAAAGCTCTCAAAACAACCCTCTCAAAGCTCTCAAAAACCGTCTAAGGAACCGCAAGCGCCAAGGTACACGAGATATCCCCCGGCCGCCAGGAGGATGACATTGTCGAACAAGCACAAGGTCTCATACCGAGGCTGGTGGATCACAGCCTCAAACAGGGCTACTTGAGTGAAGTGTCCTGATGGGGTAAGTGGACTCATGTTTTTGGGTGGGCGTTTTTAAAGTGAACAACTTAGGGGCTCTCTTTTTGTGTGTGGGGTTCCCTGCAATTTGCCAGCTAGAGGGTAATTTTGAACACGCCACTTTAGTGGACCCGAAAGACAACAAGCAATAGACAGCTGGCCGCGCACAAGCTGCCCGCTTGAATGCTTCAGCGAAAATCGACAAAGACGCAATTCCTTTCGCACAGCAGCCCTGAGCCACTCCCTCTGATCGGGTGAAAGTCGGTAACCCTTCGCCTCAAATTGTTTTTTATCTCGGGCTCCCGCGATGGTGGTGCAGCGCTGCTGCTTCGCTGCTCTGGTTACCACCTGCACGGGGGGGATATCCACATACCCAGATTCCAGTCATCGCGAGGCAACACGTTGGCCACTTTCTTGTGGTTATAGGCTGGTTCCGTTGGTTACCTGCTAAGGTTGCCTGGAATCACTGGAATGCAGATCTTGCGTATTCACTTTAGGACCCAGCGAAATTGCCTGTGCGCATCTTGCTTTGAATTGACCAGGCTTTCCAAAAAGTGATAACAAGGGCTGACTGAACGGGAAGAGCAAACGGGCAAACGGGGGTTTCAAAAGGTGACCCAAGTCTGGTCCTAGGATCCCTTGGACACCCAACTCCATGAATCTAGGATCCCCCATAAAACGGAAAATGGAACCAGAAATGGAATTCCAGGGCTTATCCTCCCCCCATTCCATCTTCAAGGCGCTCCGGGGTGCTTCTGGCATGCTGTAGGCCAATGTCACTTACAAGGGCTGACTATCCCCGGCAAATGTCGAGGTTGTTCAGAGATGTAAAAGTTTCTTTGTGACATACTGTGGATGGGCAAACACGTGCACCAATTGAAATGGATTTAACCCCATGAAGTGCAACTATCCACGCTATGTACAGTTGGGTGAAAGTGGCTGGTACAACCTCGCCGTTTTCCTGTTTACCAACATAAAGGCAATTGTGCCATCTGCTTGGCCAATGTTCATTCAAAATACTTAAATCATTAGCATCCTCATTTCAGGCAAATGCGAACAATAAAATGTCTCAGGTCTCAGATGGTACCAACGTGAACCCAGTGTAGCCCGGCTACAACGTAAACCTAGGGCTTCAATCTTAAGCATCATCAGTTGAGTACAGGGCAAGCAAAAAGTATACAGACCTTGCCCAAGTCGAGGTAGCCTACACATCAGACGTGATTCCCCGGCGATTTCTTTGCACCTCCACCACCGCATGGGAGGTCGTGGAGTCAAGTCCGCTGGTGGGCTCATCCAGAAACAACAAGTAGGGCTTGGCGACGAACTCCATGGCGATGGACACGCGCTTCCGCTGGCCACCAGACACCCCCTTCACCTCGAATGCGACGAAATACATGTCGTTCCGTGAATGGACATGGGAGTCCCCCTCAGCTCCATGGAAAATGAAAGAGAACAAATGGTGTAGAGATGTGACTTGTTCAGGATCGCAAGAGTCTGTGCCTGCTGTGGAGGTACCATTGCTTGTAGCAGTTGAGAGAAACAAACGGTCCAACGCGGGTACGGTAATGGACATGAACAAGCTCAGCGAGTCCCCGTGGTTTTGCACGGGAAATTGAGTGAGATCCAACAAGGGAAATCCAAATATTCCTAAACAAATGGAAGGGTACCAGGCTTTCTCCCTCGCCTGCTCGTCGCCAATGAAGGTCTTCCGTAGTTGAGGGTCGCCCAAGCCAAGCTGGTCCAGGATCTTGGTGGTCGCCTCCTGCGGTGGTTGTTGAATTCGCAAAACAACTATCTGATCTGCTGTGGTTGCCTATGCTTGTTATTTTACTGTTCCGGACTTCATAGTGTAGCCGATTTATCTCTTCTTAGTGCTTTCGTGTGGGTTGTGATATTACCAGCAGCCGAAAGCTTTGAGGTCTGTGCTTAAATAGGCTCCAGAGTCGCTCACAGCTGCTCCGGGCAAGGGTGCTGTTGGGGATACCTGGGCTGATGATTGATTTCTGGCGGTATGCTAACCTCCAACCATGCTGAACCCATGCATTCGTTCTTTTTCTCGGTCCACTCAGGTGCCATTTTGGCATGAAGCCGTGCCACAAACACATCGACGCTTGGTTCTACCAACATGGTTCCTACAACGATGTTCCTACTATGATTGCCAACTGGGGTTTTGTGCGCTGCTCATGCGGGTGTCTCAAAGGGTCCAACCTGCCAGTTCCTGTTGATCTCTACTTTGGACTTTGGAAAGCTGAAAGGGCCAAGGGCCCCTGGTTTTCGTGTTTGAAATTTCCATATCTCCTCAAATGAACTATTGACTGGAAATGCTGACCTCAGCGAATCCAGGATTGGCGGCGGCTTCCCATTCCACCCACTCCCAAATACCACTTGGCCCATTTGGAGGGCAAACGTGGGTACACATCCATACACGGAGTGTCTGCTTGGGTCCGCCAAAATGGGTTGTGATAAACGTTGTTTTATTTATTTATTTATTTTTGGGGGGGGTTGCAAACATCATTGTCCCGTGCAAGCAATGGCACCTGCGTGTGTTGTATCCGCCAAGCTCCGGGAAAAAAGAAGAAGTTGTTAGACCTTCTGTAGCCTAAATGGAAAAGCCTTTGGGCTTGTCTCCAAATGGGGGTTCCTGTTGTTGCCCTTTGAAGCAACTCAAAAGAAGGTACCTTTAAAAAGAATACATGTGTTTCCAAATGGTCTAAGGGGACGCGTTATTGGTTTTGTTTACCAAAGACCAGAAAAGGTTAGAACCAGGCCCCGTCCTCAACTTGCTCTGCACGCGCCACAATCCCACGCCTGAATCCCCGCATGAAAACCGATCAACGGACTCCAGAGTGGGTGTGTCTCCTATATGTGCTTTCTTTTTGGGGCACCCTTTGTGGGGTTGGCTCAAAGGGAAGCCAAACAAACCACAATTTTGAGGAGGTCCCTTAGACAAAAACACCCATAATGTGGACCCGTCTGAAGCAACCAAACAACAGGTGTGCCCTAAACAAAGACATACCCAAAGCAGGCAGGACCTTGGTTGCTCAACACCTGTCGAATTTTGGCTCTACTAACATGTTTATACAGGTTTACAGAGGCCTCAGTATAACCGCAACTACAGAAGGTCGCACAAACAGCCTAACAAATGCTACCGGGTTTTGGGACGAGCTGCGCCCCCTCTTGTGGAAGTCGCAGTTGGGCCTGGAAGGACACGTTCCTGAGGCGAGAGCTGCGCAAATAACAAAGAGTAGCTCCGAGCTCGCCGCCAGCCTCTACTGACCTCTGAATTCTAGAGCTGGGCAAAATTTCAATGGGCATGTTTATTTTAGTGCGATCTGCAGATCCCTTTCTGGAATCGTGCTGAAGGGCACCCAAAGATTTGGAGAAACACTGAAATAAGGAGCGTTCAACCTTAGCCCTTGGGTCATGCTGCCAGGAAACTCCTCCACAGTGAGGTTTCGATGCATCACATCATCCTGCGGGACGAAGCCTCATGCGCGCAACACGGCCCTTGAAGCCGTGCTTCCACGGATGGGATGCATTCATGGGGTTCACCATGGGGATCTCAGGTGAAGTTGGGAGGTCGCTGCGGGTGGAAATCCGTTCGAACCTTCTGTGGGTGTCCGGCTAAGTACCACCACACAACACAAGAGGGTACTCAAGGGGTCTACCCAAAATCCTGCCGGAGATCCGCACCTGGCCAAAAACTGCCAACCTTCACCCCCTTGTGGGGGGAGGGGTTCCAACGGCTTGGCTTCCAAAACTGGCCGCAAGTGACTACCTGCTACCACTTGGCATCATTCACCAAGCTCCAAGATTGCCCGGCTTTGTGACTCACCGCTCCTTGACCTCTCCTTGACCCGATCCCTATCCGTGCTGTCCAGGTGCCAGTCACAGATCGCAGCTCTGAGATGCTCCTGCCCCTGCCATGTATGCCGTTGATCTGAATCTGGCCCTGGACCTGACCGGACCGAAGGACCGAAGGAATCCCGGCCGGAATGATGTGATTGCCTCCACGTGTCTCAGAATAGGAAGCAACTTTTGGACGGGGGTTACAGGGGATCCAACAAGAAACATCCCCTTTGAGAAACACCCACAAAGGAACAGCCAACCAGCCGGGTTCTCTCGCTTTCTCTCTCTCGCTCTCTCTCTCTCGCTCTCTCTCTCTCTGCCTTCTTTTCTCCAAATGAGCCACGGTCAATTTGGGTGTGTATCAAAACGGAGGGCCACCAAATGTTGTGCTTGTCCCGTTGGCTTCCCTGAAAAACCCAAGAGTGAAAAGGAAAAAACACGCCCAAAGGTACCATCAAGTCGGGAAAGGTACCATCAAGTTCATACCATGGGAAACCATTATTTGCTGGTATTTGCAGGGGAATGATCATTCCAGGGTCTCTTAGATGGTGCGAAATGAATTTCGTCCCCAGTTGGATGCACGGACCTCCGGCCCAAAGCCCGGCCTTGGCGTAGCCGGCTCGGCCACTCAGCACGTTGGTGATGGAGCTCTTGCCGCAGCCGGAGGGGCCCATCACAGCCACCGTGGCCCCCGCGGGGATTTGCAGATTGATGTCGCTGAGGATCACCTCAAATGCATTTTCTTTTTGTTTTTTTTAAGAAGAAACAAAACTGTTTTTGTGTTTAATCTTTTTCGCACCCTGAACCGCTGATTTGAGACAAAGTCCAAACATCCAGTAGTTGTTTCTGACCCCAAACCACGGGAAATGAGGGTTTTTCCGAACCACTGATTTGAGACAAAGTCAGATTAAATAACCCTCGAACAAAAACCGCTCACTCTTTTCGGGGAACCTTGGAACCGCCCCCCCTCCCGCTCCCCCCCCCCCGGGCCAAAAGGCGAGGCTGCGCAAGCCCAAGAGCCCCGGCCTGACCGCTGGGCAGCACCAGAGACACGGCATCCAGGTGGAAGCTGATGCCGCTGGACACCTCCAAGTTCCTGCCGCTGGGTTGCAATCCCCTGGTGGGTCCAGGCAAAAAAAAATCCAAGGGGACGACACCCGAAGGAACCTCCGGTGTGTGGACCCAAGCAGCCCGAAGGGGAAACCTCAACCAGAAATACCAAGGAGACAACACGCCCAGGAAACGGGGTGTTGTCAAGATGGGTGACTGGTCGATGCGCATTTTCAGGCTCGGTGCCTGTTTGCCTGTTGGTGGCTTTGAATGGGAACCAAGAGGAAAGCCGCAAGGAGTTTTTGGGGGGGCCCCCTTAAAAACGAGGTGGAGGGAAACCAAAAGGAATCAATGAAGGGCCTATGGCTTTTCGTGTGAAACACTCATGCGCCTATGGCTTTTCGAACCCCGAATGGCGGGGTTCCAGTCCGGGGGTAAACTGGTCAAGTTTTCCCTCCGGGGTAGTGGCTTGAGGGTAGTGCAAACCATCTTAGAAAAGCGTGGCGTGTGTCCAAGCGATTTGGACCCCAATGGAGTTCGGGTTTCCTGGCTTCCCTTCAAATGTATTGGGTACCCTCCAAAAGGCACCACACCCGTGACGAAAACCAGCGTCAGTGGCTTCGCCTGGCGTCCTCTACGAAACCGATTCGGAAATTCGGTGGCTTCCCAGTGATACACAAAAGCTCCCCCATAGAATTCCCGCCAAAAGCGAATGGACATCATATATCTTCATTCAACCAAGTTGATCGGGCTGGTTTTCCCGTGAACTCAACGTCAAGAGCAGCCAAACTCACCGTGTGTTCAATTGATTTGACTTCACTCACCTTCTTGCTCCTCCCTTTTTCCCGGCTTTCCTTCATTTTGCCTGACCAGCAATCAGTCAGCTTTAGTCCCAGGCTGACCCAAACCCGCACCAAGACCAGCGGACCAAGCCCGAAAAGAGCTGGACGGTGCTAGGCAAATCTAAAAACATAGAAATTTACACATGTAACAACAATCTTGAAGCGGATCTGGTTGATACACCAAGCCTGACCCTCGCGGTTGAAACACCTTTGTTTAAACAAACTTCTGTATAAACAACCTCCTCTGGTTGAACGAATTTGCGTGTTTGTTTAACCAACCCCCTTTGAGTAAACAACATCCTTGTGGTTGAAACAAAACGACCTCCTTTTGTTGAAACAACCTCCTTTTGTTGAAACTACCTCCTTTTGTTGAAACTACCTCCTTTTGTTGAAACAGCCTCCTTTTGTTGAAACAATCTCCTTGTGAACACCAACCCCTTTGGGTTGAAACAACAACTCCTTTTGACGCGACACCGCCCCTGTTGTGTCAACAACTACATATTCTGAGCACACCTTTCTTTTGGGTCAGCCGCAGGCCTTGGGCCGAAGCTGTAGGGGCTGGAGACGGAGTCGAAGGGCCCCGACGCCAGACTTGCGCCAGGTAGGAGAGCAGCCCCCAGCTCCTGACGTCAATCTGGATGTCTTTGCGGGTACTGGCTTTCTTTTTCCTGTTTTTAGTGGCTCCAAGGAAAACCAAAAGGAAAACCAGGAAAACCGACAGCTTTCTGTTTCTATGCTTTCGTTCAGTGCTGAAATGAAAGCCAATCGACAATCCACCATTTGGACGGCGGGGGAAGGTCCCCTAAACAGAGACACGCCCATTTGAGCGCAACGCCACTGACGTTTGGTTGCACTCAGGTGCTGCAAACCCATGAAGGCAGCAAAACAAATAGTCACGAGAGTAGCTGGAGTAACGTGTAATCATCTAGCCCTTGTAGGTTAGTTGGACCCGTTGGTGGAAGACATTGTTGGACATCTGGCCATGGGTGTGACTCTTTGTTGGAGTTGGTACCCGGTTTGGGGTCAATGGGAACTCAAAGGGAAGCACCCAGCTTGGGGGACACTCATTTGGAGCCACAGCCAATCGTGTGCGAGATGTCACGGCGCATTGCCCCCCCCCCCTGCCAACAAAAAAAAACGAGGTGCGCCCCATTATTCATATTATGGGTATGTGTCAAACTAAGGGGACCCCAACAAGCCGGATATCCATGTTGGCTTCCTTTATACCAACCCCAAAATGGTACCCTCAAAAACGCACACACCCATGTCCAACAGGGGGATGTCCACCCCCTTTTTGTCATGACTGTGCCCTACCTTCATTTACCCCCCTACTTTTCCTGCATGTATGGGTGTCTCAAAATAGGGGCACCCAAATTGGACAAGTGTCCTCCTGGCTTCCCTTAAAAACCACAAAAAGTCGGGTTTCCCCCAAGACAGGCAGACCCAAAAGGTCTCCGGAGCCTGGCCTTCAGCTTTTGCTCCCATTCCGCCACCCGCCCGCCTGGACGGGCTCTTCGGCTCCGCAACCTGAAAAGAAAAAGAACACGGGGTACATGCAGCCGAAGGATGCGAGAAGTCAATTTGACTTCTCGAATTTGGGTTTAGAGTTTAGGGTTTAACGCATAACCAGCGTTTCTGAGCCGGATTTACCTCATGGATGGCGTTATTCTGGGCTAACTGGCAGGGCCTCAAAAAGCCTTTCCACGGGGAAGAAGATGTGAGCTTGAGACAGTTTAAAGATAAGTTCATGGGTTCCAAGTGGCCCAGATTCACATCACTGATTCGCCACATCACATGGGCATTTCAATTAAGAGCCTCTTCCAGGTTTTGCGCTCATGTTCCCGTTTGCCGGAAGTACTTGGACATGAAGGGATCACCTTTCGGGACAAGCATGAACAGGGGACTGTTCGAGCTGGGTTCCTTAAAGGATACATCCAAATTTTACCTTCATTACAACAGGATCCGCAAAATCAGTTAGCAGTATAATCTGGCCCATCCTCCCTCCAGAGTTTTCAGAACCCTTCGATCAGAGACCTTGGCTCTGGTTTTCAAAGGCGCCTCCGTCCACGAGGAACGAGATGCCGAACACTACCACGCACAGCACCATGATACAGAAGTACCTCTTGCGCAGTTTCAGCGCCGCGCCGCGGCTGAAAACGCGTCTTAAAAGGCATCACAAGGAGAGACTCACACAAAAAGGCCCCCAGTGCAGTGCTTACCATCCGAGGACAAAGTTACTGACCCCTCATTCGGAAGATCCCTGCTCCTTTTTGGAATGTATCTTGTACGATCTGGCCAAAACCATGGAGTCGACCTTATCCAAGCTGGCGGAGCAACACGCTAACACACCAACAGCTGAGATTTACTTGACTCAATGAACTCAGGGCACATCAGCGCCCTCTGCCTGTATCCCAGGAAGAAGATCGAGAGCAACCTCAGAGCAATGCAAAACCCAAAGGCGTGCATTCGAAGCGAGGCGCTAAACTGCCCTCACAAAAGCTGGACATAGGAATCTTCAAGCGATTCGGCAGGACATGCCAGTCCCAAACTTCACACACCTTGATAGGGAAGCCACAGCCACTACCATTCAGAAATCGACACTGCGACAGGTCACCCCCAAAGCTGCCAGGCCGCGAGAAGCCATAGGCACAGGAAAGCAGAAGCAGTCTCTGGAGGTTTGTCAGAGAAGTCAAGCTCCCGCCAAAGACACTGTAAGCGACCTCCGCGCAGATTCTCAAACAAAAATGCAGCGACTCGCCGACTACAACCTGCTGCTGTCTTCTCCCTCAAATGTAGTAAAAGCAAGTTTTGGAAAGGCCTTCCCAAAGTCACATTTAAGACTCAAGCGTGGATATCTGTAGTGGCTGCAACTGTCTCCCAACTCACTTTCGCCTGTCCTGGCCCTTGCTGATTCCCTGCCCCCTCCCCCCCCCGCGCCAAAGGGGTTCCAGCAGTTTCACAGCACTTCAGTCCCGGACCGCCATAAACGGGATGAGGATGGCCAAGAAGCCTAGGCGCCCGTTTTCGCCGCCGGAGTGAAGCCGCCAAACAGGTTTCAACCGACACTGTGGATGGACGAAGCCCATTTCGCACCTAAGAAAACTTGGACTGATTCTCTGATGATTCCTGATTCTCTGATGATTCCCCTCTAAATGCCAATGTGGACAATGGTTTCAATGATGGTTTCAGAGTGGTGTGAACGGAGTATGGATCATGAGATCAGTTTTGGAGAGTGCAAGATACAGAATTGCCCCCTGAAGGCAATTCTGAACCTGAACCCAAACTGGGTGTGTCTTTTCTGTGAGCTTTTTGGATTGTTTCAAACAGAACCAAAGTGACACCACCTCAGTTGGCTGGGATCCGGGTGTAAGTCTTCCCTAGGCCCATTATTAAAACATGGAACCCTCGTGTGCGTACATTGAAACTAGGCCCATATCTGAGTACTTGCATGACTTTCTGATTCAGCTGCATTTCTTCCAGCCTAAGATGCACAATAGTTTTGGAGGAGACCCCAGCGCAGACCCCCAGTAGCCATTGGAAACAAGAGCAAAAACCATGTTTCTTGGGTAAGCTGTCATAACGTTGAAATCCCTCCACGAACAAGGAACAAAGGCCACCACTGAAGCTCTAAAGCTGAATGCGTCCTGCCAGGATGCCGGCGGCGGCTAGATCGCCCAGCACCAGGCCGCAGCCCGCAGCGACGCAGGTGAGGCAGATCTGCTCTACGATCCACAGGTTCTGGCAGAAATGCACCGGGATGGAATTTGGTCACTGTGGCTGCCTGGATCGCCAGTTGCTGTTTTTTGTCCATGCACTTTGCCTCAAAAACCAGCAACAGTGACTGAAAAAAGCGGCAACTTGGCGTTGAAATGGAAATTCCTTCGATTTCACCACGGTTGATGACACCACGGTTGAAACCAGAACGTTTCTGAAGGTATTTACGGAGGGAGTCGAATCATTCTAGGGTTTCTTAGGTGGTGCGCAATGGATTACGTCCATGCACGGGGGCTCCTGGGTAACACTACTAAGTTGGACCCAAGTTATCAGCTTCCTAGTTGCTGGTTTGGAGGTTGGTGGTTTCACATCCCTCTACAGAACCAGGGTTAAAAAACCCAGTTCCCACCAATTCAAACAACCAATTGAGGGTGAACGCTCAGGGTCCTCGAAAGCTTGAAAACCCACAACAAAACAACTACAAGAAAAGACAAGGTCCCACATTGGCTTTGGCTTGCTGGACCATGTTGGATTCTGAGGACCCTAATGGTTGGTGTCCTTTTAAAGTTTCCCACCCCCGCGTAACCCCCAGCCAACCCTTGTATAGCGATTCTTCCCTAACCATATTATACCTTCGCAGCAAGAATCCACCCACCTACAGCGTCTCCCAATCTTGAGAACAATTATTTTAGCATGGCGTGTCTGCCCAAAGCGTCATTTGACAGGTCGGGATCTCCATCGGAAGGTTTGGAACCTCATGTTGAGGCAACCATTGTCAGGCACCCACGAATCTTACAGGCTAGAACTCATTCCTGGCACCTTTTCAGCGTCTTCACCACCCGAATTCCGACTGCGCCTTGCCGCATGCCCGGCGTGCCCGGGGCGTGACGGCGACGCCCCAAACGATCATGGCGGAAGCGTAGCTGAGGAAGGTTATGGGCTCGATAATCGGATGCCTCGCGACTCGACTCGAGTCGGGTTTGGCGCATGCAAAAACCCCGAGACACTTGGCCGGGGACAAAATGGCTCTGTCTTCTTTTTGAGGGTACCCTTTCCTTTAAAGGGAAACCACAGGGACACCAAAGGGAAACCAACCATTTTGGGGGTCACCTAACAACAGCACACACCTGAATGGGAACCTCGGATTAAGCCAGTCCTACTTCCCCGATACAAAGTGAGATCCGGATTCCCAGTACGCTGTTCAACCAGTTCTGCTTCCGCGGTCAACATTAGGGGAGCTAGACTCTGAGCTCCTGAGTTGGCTTGAAAACGGGGGTTTTCTCATCCTCCGTAATCCATAGTGGGACATAGAAAAGGATTTAAGACTGCGTTGCTTGACGTGACCGGGGTTGCTGATACCACATGTTTGAACAAATGTCTGAAACGCCCCTTAAAAGTGGTTTCCATTTGGATGGAACTCAACTGATCTCAAAAGTACAAAGAGGACCACCAAAACTTCAGGTGGATCTTCCAAAAGTCGGGTTTGGAGCGTCGGTGTCTTCCCCTTGTCCGTTTAACCCGTACCACCCGCCAAAACACATCCACCTGAGATATCCCGACATCCATTAAAAACCAACCCCTACGCTCCATGCAAAATCCTGCTCGGAAAACAAACCCCTTGGTGCCGGCCAAAGGTCCCCTCTTCGGTTTGGGGCCCAGCCATTCCCCAGGTGCAACCAACCTGTACCACGTCCGGCGGACATCGGGATGCCTGTGGCATTTTTGCATGTCCGCAGAGAGGCCCTAAAGCCTATCGCGCTGCCACAACTGCCTGATCTAGTGTGCGTGTACCGATGCAGTAGCGATCTTTGATTGCACATTCTGCCCTTTGTCTAACCAACAGCACAGCCAAGGGCAACCTGCAACTGCCACATTATCTGCTGGTGCCTGCAGTCAGGGTATGACTCCAGTCTGACGGTACGAGTTTCGCGGCTTTGACTCCCCAGAATCCCTGGATTGAGGGTGGGCCAAAAAACTTCTCCGCGACCGCGGCCGCCAAGTAAGTGGTTTACCTGGCTGTTGATGGATGGTTTGGCACTTGGCAGGCTTTTCCCGTTTTAGGGGCCAGCGCCGGGCTGCGAGGCTTTTGTTTTGAACTGCCGGTGTTTTTTGTGTTTCCTATTCTGCAGGAAGGGTTAAAAGTCCTGCCTCAGAACACGGCAAAAAACAATTTGGCTGGACAGAGTTTTCATGTATATTGGCCGTCCACGTTCACCCTGAAAGACTCCCTTTTCACTGTTTCAAAGGAAAACCGAAAGGACACCAATCATCTGGCCAGGGGTCCGATTCCTATTTAATCCCCGTGAGAAACATCGAAATTAAAGGAAACCAACTGCAGGGGTGCAACTTGTGGATGGCCGAAATCCATTCCGCACCACCTAAGAAGCCCTGCAATAATTCGATCCCCCCGTAAATACCCGAACACACCATGGTTTCAACCATGGTGTCATTAACCGTGAAATCGGAGGGATATCCATTTTAACCACAGCCTGGGGAGTTTCTGCTGCCATCGGCACATTCGCATGATCTCGTAGAGCCAGAAGAAGCTCAGCAACAGTCCCAAGAAGACGATCCGCATCCCCCTGAGACCGCGCGGGCTTGCTCTTGCGCGCTTGCGCCGCCCGCTCTTTTGGCAGAAAAAAGGGAAGCCAAAAGTGGAGCTAGCCGCGAACTCAGAAGCAAACAGAACTATCCAACTTTGTCGGCAATTTGCAGGGACATGAAGACTGTCTGTGGTGCAAACCAGGAAACTCTTGCAAACCTAATGCGAAGTGTCCTTAGCAAATGAGTTGATTGCAGCCCTCTATTTGGCACTTTCTAGCCAAAACATGGCTGAACTGTCACAAGGGATGCGGAAAAAAAAGCGTCCAAGACGCCAGTACTGGGGCGTGAGGCACCACCAGTTTAAGCTCAATAGCAAGCTGGAGCAGATCCCCAGGACAATCGCCAGCTCCACTACCTCCAATGAACCGAGTCCAAGCCGACGCGTGTGAAAATGACCCGACTGCTTCCGCGCGTTTTAGGACTACTTCCGCCTCTTTCCAAGCGGTTCAAGGTACTTGGAAGTGCGCAGGCTTTTGGAGTGTTTAGCCTTCTGTCCGCTTCCATCGCTGGAAGAGGGTATCACTTTGACGGAACTCCATTGCAACCGAAACCCCAAGTTCCACGACCATGCCTCTCAACACGTGCCCGGTTGCCAAAGCCGATGCCTCTTTCGAGGGTATTCTGCTTGGTGAAACCCAAGAAAACCGTAGGCCAAAACCCAAGCCTCTTTGTGGGTCTCACTTCGGCCAGAGAAAGTCCGAACTTCTGTTGACCAAAATGGTCTTCCCAAAATGAAGTCCAGGACCTCAGGGAGTGAGAGGTTGAACTTGACAAACCGAAGAATAAACAGATTGGCCAAGAACAATGCGTGCAGGGCACCGCGCGCAGGCTGCGGTTCGGCATGCGAGAGCCTGGAGGACCTCAGCCAGAGTGCAAAACTCGTTGCTGGCCCCAGGGATTCCATTTACCTGTATAGTAAGGAACCAAGAGAACCACCCTTTAAAACCCAAAAGACATTTGTTGGCTTCCTACTATAGTGGCAACTGGGATCCACTGGGGGCTGGTTGGTGACCCCTGGTGACTTTGAACACAAGGTATATCAGCAAAGTAATCCAGAGACTATGTGGTGGGTGTGCGGGTGCAGTGCGGTGCCTTGCCTGCGTGTGTGGTTGTGATGTGCATGCGCAAGCGCATGTGCGTGCGTTCGTGTGCACGTGTGTTCGTGCGCGTGCGCGAAATGGTCAGGCCAAACGGCCACAAGAGCCAGCAAGTTCCGCTACTTTCGGAACAGAGCATCGCCGCGAACTAATTGTCTCGCGGGCCAAAACGGTGCAAACAGCACTCGAAGGGCACACTCGTTGTGGCTTGGTGTCCACGTGGTATCTGCTGAGTTCAGGGTGGGTCTTGTGCTTGTTTTGGTAAAGTCAGGTTGGTTTAGAGTGGGCTTTGGGTTGGCTCTACAAACAGGGACTAGTTCGGTTTAGGGTTGGCCATCAATTCTACGATTGGTTGGAGGGTGTGCTACGATTGGTTTGGAGTTGTGTGGGGCGGGTGTACTGCCCAACATTGTAAAGGCCAAAAGTTTCAAACTTCACAACCCAACAAGCACAAACTCGGCTATTACAACGAACTCTCCTTCAGCAGAACACCTAGCAAATACAATCTAACAACCATTTATGTGCATACATACATATACACCCATGATGTAATGATATGTATGTATATGTGTATGTATATACATATACGTATGTATGAATGCATGCAGCTCATTGCAAAATCAACTGAAATATCGCATGATACTGAAACTCATCAACTTCACATCTCTTTCTCTCGTTCCATGTCCAAAAGGCTGAGGCCTTGTTCGCATGCAAGGGATGGACCTCTCGCATGCCTCAGGTGCGAGGCATCCTTTGATGGTTCCGCCACATTGCTCAAGACCCCCTCAAAAAAAAAAAAAACATGAATGGAGTGAGCTTTTTTGACTGGTTGAGTCTCAAGAAGAACCCTTCCCAAAATACCTCTGCCCGCATCCGTGTTGGGCGTTTCAACTGGGGATGGATTGTGGCCACTGTCATTGGGGGTTGCAACCAGGGATTGCCCACCCATCCATTCCACAGGGCACTTGGCTGCACAGTTGTGGCTGGGTGTTGAGGCTCGCCCTTCGGAAGGCGAATCTCCGCTTGCCACGCGGCATTGCTCCGTCTCGGAGCACCTCGCAGGTGTCGACACGCCGGTGGGACAGAAGCTCCCGCGAGGGCACGGCCTGGGAGCATCATGGGCCCCCGAATGGGGGTCAGGCCCGATCAGGTCGCGACCGTTCGGGCCCCTAAAAGGCTTGGTTTCCTTTTGTTCCCTTCACCCAGCCATGGCCCTTGAAGATTCAAAGGGCAGGACAGAGATAGAGAGCTTCAAACGTTCAAGTATGGCTGTGATGTTTGGTAGTCGGACACCATCTCCAAAGTGCTTGGTGGACATGACTCGCCGAATGCCCAAAGTGTGCCGCACCTGTTTCGAATTCACACAGATCCAATCAAAAGGCGGACAACAAATGTGTGAGCGGATCTGGGAAAATCCTTGAGATCAAAAGTGCAAGCTTCCCTCCGATTGGTGGTTTCGATTGGAGGTTTGGCGGTTAGGGGGTGGAGGAATCCCAAATCACCAATCCAAACCACTACCAACTATGGGTTATCTGAAAAAGCAACCCCGAAGGACTATAGATCGTAGAAACAAATGCAAGCCGTCCTTTCGATAAGTTTATACGAGTAGCTTCCAATCTGGACATGCCCTTGAGAGCTGCTTGCTTTAAAACAAAAGCAAGGCAAGAAGTTGCTAGCTTTGATGTGCTTCAACGGCCCAAAACCCAATTGGCCGGCTTTTTTGGATGCACTTCTCACGAACAATTCGATTTCGCCCGTTTGAGAATCAGGTTTTGGTCTCCCCCAAAAAGGGTGGCTTCATGTTCTCAAACTTAAGGCAGCCTGGTGCCATGTGCCAACCGTTTTCGGTCGCCTGCTTCTGCCAGCCACGCAGTAGGTCCCTGCAGGACATGGCTGTGGCAAGGACGTGCGACCAGCAGGACCCGGCAAACATTGCCTCAGTCAGGCAATTCCCGGCCCACCAGACTTCGACCCCCTGCAAAAAAGTGACAAATTCTTGCTGGTAAGGGAAGAGAATGGAAAACCAGAAAGAAAAGGGGGCGAAAGGAAAGTGAAGTCTGGCGATGCACAGACCAGGGACGCTTTCCCTTTGCCCGGCAAGGCGCTGGTTTCAATGGCCACCGATACTTCCCATGACAAAAGGCTCAAGTCCCAGCGGAGCCCACTGGATCCACAACTAACCAGGGATGTTCCGTCAAACTCAACGGTGTGGTTCGAAGCCTCCATGTGTGGCGCATTCACCCACAAAAAGCCCGCCAAATTGGTGAACTGTTGGTGCTCTCACCTTGGTTTGATGCCATGGCCCACAATTGGATTCCTGATCGCCTCACGCGAACTGCACGCCAAGCCACGAACCTTTCAGGAACTTTCCTGTGACCTCAGTTGAGTCAGAGTCATATGGCAGCCTTTCGTGACACTCCACATGGATGTCTACTTTTTAGGGAACCCCCGCAATGGCTTCGGCGTTCCCGTTAGCATCCCTCCAAAAAGACGCACAAACATGCGCTGCCCCCATACAGAATCCCCCCCAACCAACGAAAAACGCATACGCGCAGGGAACCTCTCCTAATTCCTTCGGAACCCTGCGCAACCGCTCAATACTCCCCGGAACCCTGCAGCCCCGCAAGATCCGGAAGCCTCTCCAACCGTTCCATGTGCACAACGGTCCTCCGGAACTGGACAACAAGTCCAATATCTTGTCATGTAGGCAGCACGAGTTCCCCCTTCAAACATCACCCAACCGCAAGGACAAACAATCAACCTAAGCAGCCATCGTTTTTCACCGCCCCAAACAAACACACTCTGCGTGGTGCGTGTATTTGTGTGTATGCGTATGTGTATGTGATGGTATGCATGCATGTACATACGTACTGCCACACATATGTAACTATGGGTGCATGCCACGCACCTCTCTCTGCGTCTCTGTTTGTGTCTCCCAAACATGCGTTATGCGGCAGGAAAACCGAAGGCAAACACATAACTTCTGCGTTTGCCTTCGGCGTTCCTTCAACGCAAAAGCCCAACAAGGGAACACTCCACAAAAAGACACATGTGCGGCGGTCAAAACATGTGTTGTGGTTGGCTGTCATGACTGACTGGGGTGTCGCTCTTCAAGGCCCCTTGTCGCTACACGCAGTGCCAGCTCATTTCTCGCATCTCGGCTGGAAGGTCTCAGCTTTTCAGCTGCCTCAACCTCCTTCCTTTCATGCCTTTTCCCCATGGGCTACTGCGGAAGAGATGGTAGTGCTTGCTCGACACACGGGACGATCACTTCCCGCCGGCTCCTCTACGTCAAGGACATGCTCCTAGCTTTGTAGTACAAGTGTAGCATTCGAAGTACACGTCCGCAGCCCCAGATTGAAAATCGCAACTTTGTAGTACAAGTGTAGTACGCGAAGGGGCAACTGCCTACCTGAAGGGATTTTGGGTGTCGCTCCATAATCTGAAAGGTGTCGCTTTGGGTGTCGCTACGGGTGCCGGATTTTTTCCCAGGGGCTGCCGGAACCCTACTTCAAAAGCACAGTGCCTCTTTTTTGCTTGCATCGTCGCCTGTCCCCGCCAAGGCGACGGAGCACCTCTTAAACTGGAACGCTCAAACTGCCAAGACGAGATCCTTCAAACCTGTCTTGCGTCGCAGTCGGGACTTAGACTTCCACGATGTGTTCAGCACGTACTTCCGTTCCCATGCAAGTAAAAAGGTACTTACAAACATGTTCCATGGGGACTTACATACATGCAAGCCCTAAACAGGGGTGTCGCTACTCAAGGCCCCCTGTCGCTACACACATGTTTTTCAAAAAACAGCTATGTCACGGCGGCCGCAATGAAGACCTCTACATAACGTGTTTTGACCCTTGCACACATGGGTCTTCGGCTCGAGAGGCCACAAGAAAAGCAAGGAGAGCCCGGCATCGGCTCTCGGGTCTTTCGGAAGCGAGAGGCGGCGGGGTCGCAGGAGATGTTTAAAGCCGCAGATGGACAGAAGGAGCCCAAGGGACAGCGTTTGACCTCCGCAGTCTTGGCCGGGCAGTGCGTGCCTCAGCTTGAAAACCAGGCGAGGACTAAGCAAAAAGGCGGGAGCAACCTGCTTCCTGGCTCCTATCACACAATATCTAAACGCCAAAAAGTCTGAACACTAAAAACGTTGTTCCAAAAGAGTATAAAGTCCACATGAACTCGGGAAATGAGTCTTTTGACTGGGATTCGCGGGATGAGAAAGTCTCAGGTCCAATGTCCCGAGGCGCCTTTGGGACACACCACCGGCTGCTGATGCCCGCCGGTGCAGTAAAATCCGGGCGGGCAAGGCACCGCCACAGCATCTGGCTCGGCCCTCAGAGACTCAGAGCCAGGCGAATGTTGACCCCACATTCATCAACCCCTGTTTATTACTATGGGGGTGCTTCTCCCTGGGTTTTAGTGGGGGCATTTATCACATTTTTGGAAGGGACCCCACATACTAATAAACAGGGGCTTATTAATCCGGAGACAACATAATTACATAGGCTCAAGGCCCGCTCGAACAAATCAAACTTGAGCTCTCCTAATGGATGAGGATCTCCGGTGTTCTTGAAACAGAATCCCCCCCAAAAAAAACGTCAAACACAACAAACATGTTCCTCAAAGCTTGCCAGGCGTCAAGTCCACGTAAACGCAGTAACCGCCAGGGCCGTCGTCCTGCACCAGGTCGTAGTTGTTGGCGCGGATTCAATCTATAGATGTGGTCGTTCTGTGTTGGGTTGCTTCTCGTCTGGGCCAACATGCATGCTTTGTTTGCAGTTGTGCATCCACAAGCAACAAAGGTGTCTGAACCGGAGATCGTAACTGGACATCCGCCGCAAACCGACAGCCGCTATGTCACAGACCCTGCCCGTCCTTCGAAGATTTGGCATAGAGGCAGAATGAGCCAGCAGGCACTGCTGAGCCTAGCCAAGGGCTGGCATGCTTCTTTGGGGTGGGAAGCCCTGACAGAAACAAGAGAGATCTGCAAGTTGACGGGGTTGTCTTTTTCTTGGGGGTGGGGATGGATCACAATCAGACCATTTGATGAGTATGTTGGGGATGTCGGTTCAACCGACCCAGCAGAGAAGTAGAGTCTTGGAATGTGTGCAAGCCAGAGGTCCTGAATTGAGGTCGAAAAGTCCACACATGCCTCAAAAACTCGCGGAACCTGTACAAACAAGCAAGCCCCGCCAAGATTCCTCTTCTGAAATTGGGGGCCCATGATCTTCTTTTTGAGGATCATTTGTTGGACCAGTCGTGGCTGAGTTTACTCTTGATAGGGTTGCTGTTGCAAACGGGAAAAACAAACCAAACCTGGCAGTTTGGTCTGACGCCTCAAATTGATTCTGCTGTAAGGGTGAGCAACAGGCAGCTGGGTCTCGGGCAAAGTGACACCACCTCGTCCAAATTGTGATCGCAGCTCGGAGTTCCTCAATTGAACTGCAGCCAGGGCTTTTTGACCCCCCATGTTGCAGTCAAAAGATCTAATTTCCAAATGTCGAATTCCAGCGCTTGACAGTTGCCAGCAGCGCAACCTCTTGGCGCAAAAAAAACCGGTTGAATCCCCTGCCAGCTTCGGGAATCGGTGTTTGGCTGGAGGCAAATCAATGGTTGAAGTGAGTATGCGTCGAAGTCGGATTTGGACCGCCCCCACAAAGGCGGTTTTCCCCAAAAACAAGAAGAGCCAACCCGCACCCTCCAACCTGCACCACAACAAAATACTCAGACAAGAGCACTGCAGGTAGAAATGGACCACCCTTGCCTTCATTTGCTTAAGTTCCCTGGAAAAAAACGCCCAGTAGTGATAGATTCCTTCAAAACCAACAGGGGGGAAATCCGCCGACCCTCTGCCTCCCATCCCAGCCCGGTGATTGGAATCAGTGATGGTCCCTGGGGACACGCCCGAAAGCACAAAAAAATGGATTCCCTCGATCGGTCCCGGGACCGGTCCTGGGACCACTCCTGGGGGACTGGTCCTGGGACCCTGGTTCTGCTGCTTCAGATTACTTGTAGTCAGCACAAACCGGCAGGACCGGTCCTGGGACGAGTCCTGGGACCGGTCCTGGGACTGGTCCCGGCCAGGGCCGCTTGGGGACTGGTCCAAGCCGGTCCCGGGATCGAGTCCTCGTGTGACCGCAAACCGCTGCAGAGACGTTGTCGCTGTTTCCGGACTGGAACCCGTGTTTCAGGACACTGGACAGGGTCCCAAGTCCCAGTCACTCCCTGCGACCGCTTGAGGGTCTAGGACCAGCTCAACGTGACTTGGGCACAAACCGGCCCGTGCGGTTATTGACGGACGAGCTGTCATCTGTCTGACTTTTCCGTTAATTTTTGTGGTAGTAGAGGATCCCTGGATCTATTCTGCAAGAGAGTCCAATACGTCGAGTCAGACCGCGCCAGGCTGGGACCAGCCAGGACAGGGTCCCAAGTCCCGGTCCCCGGCCCAGGGCAGGGCAGTTTCGGGAGGGCCAGTTTCAGGGCGACCCCGCAAAAAAACGAGACTGCTTGGGCCAACTCGAAGTGACTTGGGCGCAAGCCGGCCCAAGCGGTAATTAACGGACTAGCTGCCATATTTCTGACTTTTCCGTTAATCCTTGTTTGTGGTCGTAGAGGATCTTATAAGTGGTCCCTGGGTTTGCGGACGTGTTTCAGGACCGGTCCTTGTGACTTTTCCCTTAATGCGCCGAGGGTCGGCGGCAGCAGGCGGGAGCCTGGTTAATCCGGCTACGCCTCCTTGGGGTAGCATGTCGCCGCTAGGCAATTAGCCTGCTAGCTTTAGCTGTAGGGGGCGCACCCTGGTGCCGCCGACCCCCGCCACTTGGTCGTGATGCGCGGCCTACATCCGGCACCTCTGCATCACCAGCTCGGGGTTGCGGTTTTGCTTGACTGTGGGAAACCCTCGCGAAACATCGCGTATATGCAGGGTTTAGGCCATGTGGCTGACATCGTCAGGGTCTGGGGTTGGGCCTGGGTGATGCTTCAGCGGGGCTTGGTCTGCATCATCAAGACTTCCTTCCAAAAAGCCTCTCCGCCCAAAAAGCACTGTTTTTAAGTAGGTATCGGAGGGGTATAGGCGAGGCTCATTTTTGCGCATTTTGGCGCCAAGCGCTGCCGGGCATGCCGGCGAGGCTGGGTCCTCGCTCTACAAAACGCTGTAAATACCGCCAAAAACTGCTGTGCTGAGCGTTGGGCTGTTGTTCTGTCCGTTTTGCTTTTGCTGTGGCTGGCTCGCGTGCTGCGCGGTCCTTGCTTTTTTCGCGTTGGTTTTCGACCCCAGCCACAAAACGCTGCTATTTACGGTGTTTTGTTGCATTTGCGTTTTCGGCCTGGCTTGCGGGCTGCTCTTTTTGGGCTGCTTTTTTTGGGTCCTCTGGCGCGCGCGCCCAGAAAGCCGGCATCCCCTGCATTATCTGGGGTTAAGGTGGGCAACATGCATAACATAACCAGCCATATCATAGCACACGCTACGTTTCTCATGCAAAAAACATGACATGACATGGTATAACTTCAAAGAGGCGGCTAGAGGCCGCAGGCCCAGAAAATACACATATTCTTAACCAAGTGGAAGCTTGGAGGGTGCTGGAGGGTACCCCTCCACCCCAAAAAAACTGCCGAGGTCCTTTTGGCCTTTGTCTGAGTGCCCCAGCCTCTCGGCACGGCCGGCTCCTCCGAGGAGTTGAATCCCAGGTAAGAGGCGAACAGGCGCCTGCGCAACCACCCCGATATACAGCCACACCTTTTGGGTCGGAGGGTGCCGGTCTTTGTGGATTTAAAGAACAAAAGGAAACATTTTGTGGGTCCAACCTTTAAAAAACACATTATCAAGTTGTTCAACACATGAATGTGACAGCTGAGCAAAGTTGGGTCCATTGGATTTTAGTAAAGCAGAGGTTTTCTCGTTCGGGGATTGACAGGGTTTCCGAGCCATTCCCTTGTAGGAACCTCCCAAAGTGGCACTTTAATGGAAACCACCAGGAGATTGCAACCTCTCAGCCTAATTGAGTTTAGTGTCGCGGCCTCCGAATCAGGTGGTCTTTAACTGCGTTTTTGGTGATGGCTGGAGGCTTGGTTGCTCGGTGGCTAGCTCCCGCTGGGCTCAGCGCGTTTAAGTACTGTAGATAGACAAAAACCTGAACCAGTTGGTGGGCAGTTAAAAGGCTTGATCCATCCCAGCTGGTGCAGGATCTTGTCCATGCATAGCAATTAGGTCCCTACTTTCGCGTGCGCGCGGTGAAACAGCTAGTTCTAGTGGCCGCCGACGTGGCACCTAGTGCCATCCCCCGAATTTGACCACGGCACAAAATTGTGTCAAGCGAAAATTGCCACTTGGAAGGAACCCCACCAGGGTGTTTTTGTTGGGAGGGTCAAAATTCCAATGCCATGGCTCAAAAGATCCGGGCCTTTCTAATCCCATCAAACCGAGAACGAGCAACAGTTGAGATTAATCCACTCCATGGAATGTTTGCGCACCAAAAAACCCTCCTGGGGCCAAATGTTGCATATGGAGTTTCTTCCATCTCAATCTAGGATGTTACCCAGTCCCTTGACCACTTGTTTCTTCAATCTCGATCCAGGATCTTTGGTGTCGGATGGGAAAGCTCTGGCTGTAGCGCGCTCGCTCGCGACTCCGCGACGGGTCACGTCCGGCCTCCCTATGGCCGTGGCGTTCAGCGTGTCACCCTCTTTGGCAAAGGCCAAGCCTGAGGTGACCGCCGGAATTTTTTTTGCGCGTCATCCACAAGGTGGGTTTCATTCGGGGCGTGTTGCGGGTACCCTCAGGTTGATCCTTTAAAGGAAATCCAAAAGGAAACCACCATCGGGGTGCAAATCCTTAATTTGATGAGCCAAACCTGTGAAAAGAACATGGACACAAATTGACATGCAACAAAAATGGCTGTCACAATATTCCTCCCTCCAACATCCCACATGTGCAAAACAAGGAAAGCAAACATTTGTGGCCAGCCCAAATGACCTCTACAGAGGTGGCAGTGTTTTGATCGGTTGACGGATGTTTGGCCCACATCCGGGATAAGCATGATACGATCGAATTTGCTTGTTTGCTGTTTAGTGATCCCTGAAATTTGGAGGAGACGCCAACAAGGACCCTATGCTTCTGAAGAAAAAAAAGACAAAGCACCGAAGATGTGATCGAAAACAGCGACCAAATCGACATGGTGAAGTCCGCCACTGAGTTGTGGACCGCCCCGTTTTCCGAGCTGTGGGCGATCCGATCCACACCCTATTTCAACCTTCAGAGGATGAATATGTTTCCCCGTACTTCCCCGGGAAGGGGAACATGGCTTACTGGTTCGATTCGCCAAGTTAGTCAGTTGTAACAGCAACCCTTGGGCTAGAACCCACTGAGTCACCCGCAAATGTAGGGTTAACCTTAGGTCATACTTATAAACCAAGCGGCTAACCACAAAAACAAGAAGACTTGGCAACGAACATCCAAGTACCTAAAGTCGCATCCGGGATTAAGCCGTTCAAAAAACACTTCCAATGGTCTACAGGAACATTGGTTCCCCTTTGAAGGCCAACAGGAAGTCCGCTTGCTAGTACGAGAGACTAAATTACTATTACCCCTTATTCTCGCAACTAAAAAATATCTACCCCACAACCCCGTCCTATTTGTTTAAAGCCCTTATAGCAAACAAATTGTCACCGAGCAGCAGGTATAGTTCAGTCGGTCTAGCAGATCAGGCGACAGCTGCCCGCTGGCCTCATTATGCGACAGCTGAGGATAGGGACTTGGACCCCTCAATATGAGTTTTTCTTTTGGTGCCCGTTTAAACCAAGGTGAAAGAAAAGGGGCACACTCTCATAGAAAACCAACATGCTTGGGCCTCGTCAACAAGCGGTGGGAACCTTCTATGGCACATCTGAGCTTAGTGACCATGGGGAAATTAGGGATTGCCCCTCTGGATGTTGTGGTTGAAAGTTCGTGTCCATGTCTCGAAACCCAAATGGATCCGGCAAGATTGAGACCGACCCTGCGTGAGCTGCCACCAAGGCACCGGAAGACAGGCGAACAGTAGAGCCGCCCACCATGCCATTGCCGCTGAAAATCTGAAATGCCTTCAGCCGTCGGCAACGTCACCGGGTGTCGAACTGTTGCAAATTGTATGGTGAAAAAATGCTGGCTGGCCACTTCTCATATTCAGGGTTGAGAGGTGAAAAGTGCTGCAAGCTAAGCAATTTGCGTTTTCTGTGGTTGTTTCATTTGTTCCCATGGACACCAATTCTTGCTTCTTGCCACTGCACCATTCCGCGCGTCCTTTCCTGAGCCTGGCTCAACAGCTGCGGCGCAGTGCGAGCCCTCGACTGGGTATCAACATGGGCCTCTGAACTGGGAACGAGTGATCCGGATGGCTCAACCAAAAAATGGACGGCCCAAAGGTTCAGAGAGAGATGAAGCCCAAAACGGTTGACTCACCAGCTTGACATGGAACCTCAAAGCCCCACCCATTTTGGAGGAATCTCCCTTCACTTGAGGTCTGGAAGCCCCAGGCCAAGAAAGCCGTAGGTTTGGGACACTCGTCCATCGACTTCGGGGCGCCAAACATGTGGCGTCGAACCGCGCGTGTGAGGTATGTGCTCCAAGAAAGACCGAGAGATGGACAAAAACGACGGACAGTTGGAAGGTCATGTTGACCCCAGATGTATCAACCCCAGTTTAAGAACAGGTGCGTGTTTCTGGGTTTAGTAGGGAATCATCACTTTTGGAGGGGCCCGGGACCCACCCCCCTGGTCATATTCACCGGGGTTGATAAATCTGGGGTCCACCCGAAGAGGCTTCGCAAAGTCCTTCCAGGCCTGACCGCCAGCGCCCGGTCCACCCGACTCTCGCGCTTCGCCCTGGGCTGCACGCTTGACGCTGAGCGACGTACCGGGGCTTTGCCACCCCTCCGACATTTCCGGGGCTTGGGCAACCTGGGGCTTCGGGGACGGACGGCTCGGCATGTTTAATTGGTCCTTTCAAAGATCCTCGGTGGATCTCCCTGGAAAGAAAAGGCTATATAGCTGATTTTGGGAAGTTCCTTCCAAAGGGAAGAATGGCACCACTGGGTGTCTAAGAAAAGGACTGACTCCGAGATAGGATTCCAACGGTCCCCCGCCTGAGCACGGCTGTGTGCGCGGGCTGACCTCGAGAAGTCGAGTCTGGCTTGACCAAAGGGGCCCCTCGCCTGGGGACTTGGACCCCGTGCAACGAGTCAACTTGTTGCTGGCAAGGGGAAACACAGGAACACCACCAGGGCAAACGATCGAACCGGTAAGCCAAGCCTGGCAATGTCAATAACAAAAGCATCTTTTCAGGGATGTCCCATTCAGTCGACTTGCTCCCAAATCGGTGCTGCAAGTTGGGCCTCTTGGCAGAATCCCAAAGTGCCAAGAGGAAGCAACAATTGTGGCTTCGCATGTTAGGGGAACATATGGAAACATTGATCTTAGAACCCACTGCTTTGGTATTCCTCTTGTGGTGCTTCTGCTGATTTGCGGCCGATGCTCTGCCAACCAGCGGGAATTCTTGCCGCAATGGCGATTTCGGCGAAACAAATCCGCCGGAAGTTCTATTGCATTTTGACTTTGCGGCATTTACGTCCACCACTTCATGGGAACCCCGGATGTGTTTAAAGAAATTGATCAAACGATGGGGGGGGGTCCCCATTTGGTGCGGATTCAGGCCACTGGGGGCCCCTTATTGACACTGTGGATGGACGAAATCCTGCAACTCCTAAGAAGCCCTGCAATGATGATCCCACTGCAAAAACCAACAAACAATGTGTTTTTCACATGGTTTCAATTTGGTGGGAACGGATTTCGTCCATCCACAGTAGGGACGGGTTCTACTTAGACCTGGGGCCCACCACTTTGGGTGTTTTGAACCTCCGAAACAGAAATGGCCGGGGGCCTGGCGCGCAGGGCGCCGGAAGCTATCATCCATGCGAGAGGCGAGCGAGGGGCTTCTGGCTGGTTGTGCGTTCAGTTCATTTGGGAGCAACTTGCGGTTACATGGTGAGGGTTCTCAAAACTACTTTGGGGTGGTTGTCAGTACCAGCAACCCGGTTCAAGATTGGAATTTGAAGGGATGCTTTGACAGTTTGGGTGCTGGTTTTGGAGGCTGGGGGGCTTCCTAGTCAGCAAATCAAGAACCAGGGCTTCAAAATCGAAACCACTCCAAACCCTGAATGAAAGGGTATTTGCGGTTGACGCTAGAGAAGTCGTGCCAGCTGCCATGTCCCGCTGTTGAAACTGAGTGCCTCCCACTTCGCGACCCATTTGCGCAGTCTGTCGGCTCCTGTTCACAGGTGCATTCTTGCTACACAATCTCCCGTGGCTCAAGCGTCTGGCAGCTTGCTGCCGGGAGGTGCGGCAAATGTCACGCTGGTCTCAAGCATTGAGTTTGGCAATTGGTGTGCAAACAACAAGCTGCTTGTTGTTGAGGCCCATGCATATAAGGACTTCGCCTGACATCTTCGCTTGCAAGGTTTCGGACCCAAGGCGTTTTGGGGTGCCAGGATGCTTTTACTCGAAAACCGCGCGAACAGCGAAGCATCGATCCGAGTCGCTCAAATCGATTCGATGAATCGCTCTCGGGGGCTCTCGCACCGATCGGCACGTAGGAGAAGTCTGAACAGCCGCAGCCGGCGTGGGTGCACCTGGCAACCCCGGGGGTGAGGGAAAGTGGCTTCCCACGCGTGCTCAAGGCGCTCAAATCCCACTCCAACCAGTCCAAACTACCCCTTATGGAGGAAAGTGGCCTTCCACGTTTGCGGGAGAGTGCCCTATGAGCCATGACTTTCAACACAACTAGAACCTGGAATTGCCCCATGTCTCAAAAACATACGGATGGTCTTTGGCATTGGGGGATACTTGTGGATTAAGCTGAAAAGGACACTGTCAAACAATGACGCACCCGTAAACCGCAGGTTCCGCATGGTGTACCAAGTGGATCCAAGGGAAACAGTGTGGGGTTCTTCATCTACTGAGCTCCACTTCCAATTCCTCCTCAAGGCATTCTTTCGCCATCACAATGCGTAGCCACATGGCCGACATGGCCACCCTAGTGACATGGGTCTGGATGCAGTTGCCTGCTTGGGAGTTGGTATGCTTTTCGGGGTTTGCTACACGTCCCCCATGTTCACATTTTTATTCTGCACGAGCTTGAAATCAACCGGAGAAGGCCTTCAAACACGTGGAACCGAGTGCTCTCGAGTCGGATGCTTTCTATTGCCTTGTGTCCTTTTCCTCTCGGTCCAGACTCCTCCAACATTTGTTGGACGCCAGGCTGTGGACAATTTCATCCACGGAACCGGGTCGTTGCGTTGGCATCGCCCCGGCGAAATCGTAGGAAACTAAAGCACGCCCGTCAGTTACGCACAGACCGGGGCCTTGCGTGGCCCCGCCTAGACAGGTGGCTTGCTGCCAATGAGAAAACAACAACAGGTGGGTGGGTGTTTTAGGGCAAAGGGGGCCCCAACAAATTATTGCTTTCCTGTGGCGTCCATTTAAAACCACCCCCAAAAGGGTGCCCTCAGAAAAGACACACACGATACTATGTGGGTGGAGAGCGCCCACTTTGTAAGCCTTTGCATTCGGGTCCTTATTTAAAACTTTTGGGGGGTAATTACCCTGCTGCAGTCTCTCGTGGAATGTTTTGAAGAGAAACCCACACTTTTGTGGGAATGCCCCTCTTTTGGTTTTCCACATGCTCCTCTCCACGTGGTTGTGGGAAATTACCCGTTCTGTGAAACCGCCCATTGTGGGAACTAACTGCTGAATGGGATTCAAACCATGAGCACATAAGCACAACTTCACCCTACCATCAAGAAATTAATCTCAGTGTGGTCAAGGATTTTGGAGCCTTTGGCGAAAAGCACGTGGAACTTTAGAGACCTGGATGCTGGTTTTGTGGAGGGAGGCACCTGTTTTAGCTGTTTTGGGGGGGTGCGTTAAAAGGAAAGCGGGCCATTTTTTCCTGTTTCTTTGGGGTCCCAATTTTGAGACCAACGGGTCCACGGAACTGGCGCCACGATCCGACGCCTTGAGCTCTCGGGACTGGATCTCCCAAGGCGCTGGCGCCCTGGCGGGGCGCCAAGTTGGAGTCCGGTCGCGGGGCGGCGTTTTTCATCGCCTCGTCTTTTTCTTGGACTAGGTCAGATTTGAACCTTTTTGGAGGTTAGAATAGGTTGGAACCTTTTTTTTCTGTAGTCTATTCTTGCAGGAAAGCCCTTCCCCCGAAGAAGGGTTAAAGGGCACTGGGGGACCTAGTTGAGGCTTGGTACCCTTTTTGTGGTTGTTGTTTGGGGTCATGTCATGCGACTCGGAACCGTTGTATTGTCTTGTTTTGGGTGTGGGGGGGGTTGCCGATTTGTTTGAGTGGGTTTCAATTGCCCCTTGCCCTTTGAAGCCAATGGATCCGTTCCTACATCAGCCTGGCTATTTGAGTCTTGCAATGCCCCCAAATGGGTTTGTCTTGTAGCCCCTCCTTGAAAGCATCACTAGTAGTGATGTTTTATCGGGTGCAATGGCTCTCCTTGCTGCTACGTAGAGGTAGCTAAGTAGTGAGTCATTAACCAAATCAACCCATAGTTAACTCATGTATATCCTGTTGCTATGTCTAACTAGGGTTGCTCACCACTTAGATGAGGGTTCCTTGAGGGATGCATCCAAACACCTGTTGGGAATCCTCTAAATCAGCTGCTGAGTTTCCAGCCGGCCCTAAGTATCCTAAGCGCGGCGGATGGCGCTTCTTGCTGTCGAAGAAGAGGTCAGCCTCGTGCACGTTGGTCTTGCCGGCCAGGTCAGGCCTGGCCACTAACACCACGCAACACTGATTCGGACTCCGGGGGTGCCATCAACATCCCTTGACTTTTGGTTCAAGCAACACCTGTAATGTTGACCCCATATTAATTGATCAACCCCAGTTTGTTGATAGGGGGTGCCCCGTGGTTTAGTGGGAAAATGCAGGGAAATCATCACTTTTGGCGGGGAACACCCCCCCCCTACTGAAAATCTGGGGTTGATTCATGTGTTACTTAACATTATGTAGGTCCCCTATCCCAAAGAACCAAGCTAACCACCCACCTCGGGGCCTTGGGCCCTGAGACTTTGTCTGGACACGGCCGGCCTCCAGTTGTCTACGCCAGGCACCTGTCGAGACATGGCCAATCGAATTCACGAACTGTGGTGGTTTGGATATGGTACTGAGCCCCTGAAGTGAACAATTTGAGGGCCTCTCAAATTACGGTTGTACCTTTATCATTTATGGTGCTTCTGTTTTGTTGGTATGCTTTTGGGGGTAGTTTGCTTTACCACAACTTAAAAGGGTAATGTTGAGGGCGTCACTTCAATTGCCAGTGTGCCAAAGGCAGCTTGGTCAAAATCGGACATGAGCAACTCACTCACTGTCATGCAAAAACAAGATGCCTCCATGCTCACTACAGGTACAGCATAATGTTTGTTTCCGGTTTCCCTTTCTAGGTGTCTTTTATGTGGGGACCCCCCAAAACTATGTTTCTCCTTTTGATTTCCCTTTAAGACCACAAAAAGGAATCCCCCCCAAAAAAGACACACACCCTTTTAATCAAACAAAAAACGCAAACCCTCTTCCCAAGCTGGGTCCCGGACCATCAGGAAGCCTCGAGGCGCGTCATAGGGCATAGCCTTTCCTGCACGCGGTTGGCTGGTACTCCAAGAAACACCCGGATCCGGGATTCATCCTGATCAATCCCGAATATCCGCAACAGGGTATGTGTCAAAATAAATAAAAAATGTGTTTCTTGGAGGTGGTGTGTTTTGTGTTTTGTATGTGTTTTGTTAGTTGTTGTTGTTGTTGTTGTTTTTTTTGTGGGGAAACCCAAAGGGAAGAAACACGAGGGTTCTGGGGGAGGCCCCACGAGACATCTATACAGATAATTGGCGGCAATCGAAACCCTCCGCTTGGGGAAGGAATGCAATCCCAAACTCGAAGACTCCAGGTTTACAATAGTTGCCCACGCAAAACCTTCTAAATGGATCAACTGGTATGTGGGTTGTGTGGGAATACACCGAATCAACAGTCTATCTTCTTCGTTTGGGGAAACCCTATTTTGAAGGGACAACGAAAGGAAACCCATCTTGGCATCTTGGTGTCCACTGGTGCCGTCAAACTCCTGTAGGCCTTGTCATGGTTCAGGAATCCTTGTCCCCTTGGGTCCATGGCCCTACTCGTAACAAGGTCGCTTGACTTTGGAGGCTGTGCCAACCAAAAAACATCATTGCCAGTTTGCAAGCATCTACTGGCTTTTTTCCCGGGTCAATCGACTTTTTGAACCACAAGTCAAGACAAACACTCTTTGCTTTTGGATCTAAGCCGTAGATAAGTCAAGGCAAAATCCATGGATTCCACAGGCCATTTTAGGGAAAGAGCTCTCAAGGCTGTTCGGTACCCCTTGATTCTCCGAACTGGAAATCCAAAGAAATGAGAAAATCGATCTGTTGTTGTTTTGCTTACCCCCGCCTTTGAACTGCTTGCAGGTCCCAAAATCGCATGAACTTGAGGTATGACACCGAGGTATGCGGTCCAGAGACGAGGCCCACTACGACTATCGGTTTCCAACGGAATCCAAGAGAGCAGTCACTTCGCCTGTGACTTCAAAGGGAATCCCCCTGCAAGAAAACAACAGGGAAAAACGAAGCACCCCTCTAAGGTTTGATTCCCCAATTTTTGGTTCAGCCATCGTTCTCTTTAGAAACCACCCATTCTTCAAGGGTCTGGCCCCCTTTCTTGAAGAGAAGGTTTTTTGAAGAGAATGGGGAAGGTACAGCTAGAACCCCCCCCAAATCTTTTGGGGAGTCACTGCGCCTGTGACTTTAAAGGGACACCCCCCCAAAAAACAACGAGGTTTGATACAGCTAGACGCCCCCGGTGGGGTCAAGGCCTCTCCTGGGCCACGGCTCTTGTTCCAGGCCACCCCTCCGTTGATGCCGCTGCCGTGCCGGAGCCGCAGCTGCGGGGCGAAGACCTCACGAGCAGCACGGGGCGGACAAAAAACGAGCGCCACACGAGCAGCAGCACCCCCAACCAGTGCTTCCTCCCAATCCAAAAAGCAGTGGTTGGGTGCCAAACGATGGGGACTGGGGGGGAGGGAGAGGGGGAGGGAGCCCCAAAAAACCTTATTAAGCTTTTATTGATGCCTTATTTAGGGCTTGTTTGGGCTCCTTCCCCCTCCGCTCCCTCCCCCCCAGCCCCCATAAAACAAGCACCAGCACCCTCCAACTAGTGCTTCCTCCCAAGTATCCAACAAGCACCTTGTGGTGCTGGCAAAGGTGGGGATGTTTTATCTGATCTGATATGTGGTTCCCTCCCACGAATTCAAGTTCCAATTGACGACATGTTCCGACGTGGCATCAGTTGCGTAACCACACACCACAAGTCACTGCCCTTTCCTTCTCCACATATATGTATGTATACAAATATATATATATATATGTGTTGTACATTAACTAAACACATGCACCCATATTTATATGCTTGCTAGGGTGACGTGTCTTGCAAAGGAAAACTTGAAACAACGTCTCTTCTTGCCGCAACCATTCTGGTTGACCACTTTGAGTTCCATCGAGGAAACCACCTTGTTTTACCCGGCAGCCACGTGGCTATTGCCAGGGGACGATCTTAAAAGTGCTGGTGGACATGAATCACCGAAATGATGACCAGTAACATTGACACACATGTTTGGCTTGCAGAAAGCCCAAGCTAGGTGATAACTCACTCAAAGTTCCAAGAGGAGTTACCCCTGTGAGTGGCTTCTAACCGTTCCATACAAGAACCCTGCGGTTGCTGTGGCTGGCTCCAGCTTCACAACCCAAAGTGGTCAACCAGAATGGTTGCGGCAAGAAGAGACGTTGTTTCAAGTTTCCCTTACCCTAGCAAGCACATGAATATGGGTGCATGTGTGTAGTTAATATAAGAAGGACCAGCGCCAAGCCGCAACCACCGAGCCAGTCTCCAAGTCGTAGGAGCCCAAAGATCGCTCATCCACCATCATGGTGCCTTGCGGCGCGCTCCCGAGACACACGCCAGCGCTGCCCCTTTGTTGGGTGGCGGGAGCCGTCTTTTGGGGGAGCATTCTTTTGGTCTTGGAGTTGGGGGCGCTTTTTGGTTGGTCTTAGATTTGGGGGTGCTTCTGGTTGAATCGCTTCAAGGCAAACCACAAGGAAACCATTGCAGCATGTCGGGCAGGCGCAACAAGAATCCTCAGCTCGGCCTTTGTAAATCAAGCGCTGGTCCTTCATTCGGCTTCCCCAGCCTCGGGTGAGCAGGCTGCAAGCTTGGGTGTGGCCAGATCTGTGGGTGGACAAAATCCGCTTCGTACCACTTGGTCGCATCGATGGTCGCTTAGTACCCTGCCAACTCCCAACTTCTTGCCCTAGATGAAACATGATAAAACTCCGTAAATACTGGGATAAACATGGATGCACCAGCTACCAACTCATGCGAATCGGAGTTTGTCCATCCACAGTTGTGGACCGGTCAAATGGCTCCATAGCCTAAAAATGATCACCTGAACAAAACAGTTGATAGCCCTTTGGGGCCGCGGGGGGGAGGCTCCTGGTGATGTTCCCAATGAACAACTATTGACCCTCACTGACTCTAACGGGTCGAATGTGATCATACACCTACTTGGAATGTGAAATGTTCAATGTACGCTCGACCCCCACCCCACCCCACCCCACCCGAAAGCAACAAAAAACAGGCGCGCACCCACAAACGTAACGCGTGTGCCATCAAATTTTGCAGCTGCCAAACATATGCATATGTGCAGCGACGCGGCACTGTTCCAATCTCGCCTTGACGTCGCGGACAGTGTCCGTGGTTGAGACCTCAGGGAACGTGACAAACAGATTGAACGGGCAGATCGGTGCTTGCCCATGCGATGTTCTTCCTGGCCAAAGTGTTCATGCGATGTTCATTAGATTTTCAGAACTTGTGACCTTTGTCCCGTTGTTCTCCCTGAAACCAACCCCGAAATAAGCAACGCCCCCCCAAAACAAACAAACCAAAAACAAGCTTCTGGGAAAAGGGCTCACCCCGAAAATTGCGGTTATTGTTGGTTTCTCCTGCTTTGGCCCGAATGAGCCTCCCCTACCCAAACCCAATGAGATAAAAAATACACACTGTTGGACAAACATGTGTCTTTTTAGGGTATACCCAAAATAGTGGGGTTCCTCTTGGTTTCCCTTTACATCAACTCCAAAAGGGGTACCCTGAACAAAAGACACAAATGTATTCAGGCGATGTCCAATTTGGAATTTCTCGTTCGGGTCTCATGGCTTGCCCGTTCAAAGATTCTACCACACCCCCCAACAACCAGTTAAACCACAAATACAAAGCAAACAAGTGGGGATGAAAGGTAAATGTAGATGGGGGGGTTCAAGCAAAACTCCCAAGTCGTGAGCCCGCGTCCGTATTTTTCTGCCTTGGGGTCTATTTGGCGCTCTAGGTAGGCAATGCGGGAATGAACCGGAAGGGGATTGCCTTAAAGGAAACCACCAGTTGGACGGTTTTCTTGGGTCATTCCATGTCTCATTCCCTACTTGTCCTCACTTCCCGAGCGGCTTGGGCAACAAAAAGCCCGAACTTTTTGTTTACCACTATGGTGCAAACCCAAAAAGGTACGAAAAGTCCATGACCTCCGGGAGCGAGTATCGAAGGAAAACCACCAGTTGGATGGTTTTTCTTGGTTTACATCGGGGTCCTTCGCTCCCTATCGCGCCGATCCGCCCGTCTCGGCGAAAACTCCACGGGACGTTTCACGTTTCTCCCGTCGAGTCGCCTCCAGGACGGTGCCCTTCCCCGCGTTGTCGCGGACCCGGAGATGGAAAAGATCCCGGCGCCGCTGAGGCACCCCCTGGGGAAAAAAAAATGGGGTCACGAACTCTTGAGGAAGCCCAAGGAATGGAGGTTGTGGGATACTTGAAAAACTTAGCCACTATAGAAAAGTCAAACTATGAGCAACGGGTTCGCCCTTTGTGTCACTTATACTGCGGGTTTTGGTCCACTAGGATATACTAGGATGGTTTATCATGGTTTGCAATCCCAAGATCTGTGACCACTCCTACCAACCTCAAGTAGGTAGTTTGACCATGGCACATATATGTCATTCTCTATAGCTCGGATTTTGTCCCCCTATGTTCGGTTTCATCCAGCAAACCAACTCCGCCATTCCATGGGAAACTCAACAAATCTCCCCATCTCACGTCACCCCGATCTCAAGAAAAGCAAGGCTTCCAAGGTCTGCTGGACTTGGGAGGGGGGGTTGGGTTTTGGGGGGTGTGACTTGATGGTTTTCGCAGGGATTACCCTCCCACACCATGGAACCCGAGGCAGTGCTGGGCTCCGGTTGGCGTTTGGGAAAATGTCACTTGTGGGGGAAACCCAGTGTGAAATACACAAACTATTAGAATTTCGGATGGGTTGGGAGACTTCGCTTAATAATTATTGCAGGCACCATTCCTACCAAAGGTTGTAAGCAAACCCAATTAAGCCTTGTAACAGGATTAACAGCCGCACCTGTTTATGGGACTTGTCCTTACTAACCTACCCGAATCGGTTTGGAGTGTGGGTCAAATGAGGGGCGAGGTGAACCTATGGTGTCTCTTGCTTTCCCTTTCAAAGCTCTTGCGGGATGTCCAACTCCGAAACCAAACACAGGTGTGTCTTGCTCTTTTTGTGGGGAACCCCCCTGGTATGTAGAGGGAAACCAAAACAAACCTGAAACCATTTTGGGGATCCCCGAAACAAGCAAACTCGACCCCTCGCGCGCGATTGCGGCTCCAGGCGCTAGCTCTTCATGAAAGGCCCCAGCTGGAGGGCTGTCCATGGCGCGGCGAAACGACCCGCGCTTCGCGAGCTCAGCGGTGGCATCTGCTTGAGCCACGCGTCTCGGCAACTGAAATGGGAGTCATCGTGCTTTGCCATCTTGATAGAAGTTGGCTAATAAGTTTCAAATATGCACATCCTCGACATGGTTGGTGCTATAAAACCTAAATGACGCCCAGAGGATCCCTTCAAACTCATATCATGTTTATTTTCGTCTCAAGTTGTTACGTTGTTTCTGCATTTTGGATAATCTTGCGGCACATGCTGGAATCATGAGTAGCCAAAACAGTAGCACCGCGCGCCTCATTTTTATGCCCCCTGCTCGCTCTACGGGTTCATGCCTCGGCCAGCTTGCGATCACCCCATGACATGTCCGGATCCACGACACCCTGGGACACCCCATGAGGGTCATCATGTCATGTTGTTCCCGCCAAAAGGGCATGGAAAATGGAGAAGACTCTCCCAAATGTTCCGTATAAATCTCTCTCCGTAGACCAGAAATCTGAATGTTTGCAAAAACAACGCAGTTTGAGAATGAGACTCTAACTAGATTGACTTCAAGTCGCATTCAACTCAGAATGGCTTTCTATGTCCTTCAACGAGCGGCACATTGCCTCTCCCATGGCCATGTCTGTTGTTCAGGGTAATCCCCCCCCTAAATAAACGACGCCCCCCCCCCCCCGGCCTGCAAAACAATTTTTATTATTAGGGGTCCCCTGGTTCTGGAGGGCAGGTTTTGGAGGGCAGGTTCTCAAAGGAAACGTACTCCCGGAGCTCTGGCTCGAAAGTCGCAACCGTAGTATAGGAAACGTGCTCCCGGAGCTCTGGCTTGAAAGTCGCAACTTTGTAGTACAGCCGTAGTAAAGGAAACGTGCTCCCGGAGCTCTGGCTCGAAAGTCGCAACTTTGTAGTACAACCGTAGTAAAGGAAACGTGCTCCTGGAGCTCTGGCTCGAAAGTCGCAACTTTGTAGTACAGCCGTAGTAAAGGAAACGTGCCCCCGGGGTCCCCCTAATGGGGCTGGATTTGAGTACGGGCAGAAAAATATCTACTTTAGAATTGGTTTAGTATTGGCTATTCTAAAAGTAGTATTCCCGGATTTGGGACTTCCGAAACAAATATTTATTATTAGGGAGACCTTTATTAATAGGGGGAACGGATTATTTTGTTTGGCCTGCACCCATTTGAACTGGTTGGGCTCATAGGATTTTGATCTGCCCTTCTGGGGCGTCGGTTCCCAGCGCCTCCGCCAATTTTCCAGTGCTCGCATCTGGGACCCGCATCCAAATAGGGGGACCCAAACCTGATGGGTTTCCTTTTGGTTTTCATGTAAGCCAATCTGAAAGAGGGGACTCCAAGAAAAATCGGCATCCTTTACACAACCAACTTGAACAAAATAACCCAACGAGACACAAGAAAAACGAGCCAGGTTCCTGTGGTCTCATTTCAACCACTTCAAACACACACCAAAACCCAACAAAAACGCGCCGAGCCCAGCTCTCAGCCTCCGCGCGCTTCAAAGGCATGGCCACAAAAGCAACTCGTGGACGGCGTGCAACGCGCACACGGAGGAGGCTGCCTGCAAGAAACACACCCCGAAGCATGGTCAGACCAGTCACCATGCCGGCATTCTAGGGGTAGCTTCCCCATTAGATCCAGGGATCCTTCTTTCTAGAAAACCTCCGGAAACCCAGGGAAAACGACCGTCTGTTTTCTGTTTTTTTTTTCCAAAGAACGATGGTTGAAAAGAATGGGGAATCAACCCCTAGAGGCATGTGTGTGTGTGTGTGTCTGTGTTTTCAGGGACCTTTTTTGGGTGGGTTTAAAGTGAAGCCAAAAGGAACACAGCCATTTTGGAGTGTCCATTAAAGGACAAGCCCATTTGGGGTGCATACTCGGCCTTGACTTAGAGGAAACCAGCCATGTGAGGGGAGTGACTTCCCTATGCTCTCGAGAACCTGACAACCGAAACATCCGCTGATTACCCCAAAAACGAAGATGGAACCTGAGTTGGTGTCCCTTTCACGTTCCAATGTCTTTTTTGGGCGGTCGATCAATCACCAGACCCCGTAGATCCCCAGAAAACCCCGCACTCCATGCAAGTAGTATGTACACCATCAACTGATCCATTTGGAGGCATACATCTGGGCAAATATTGGCATCGATCCCTCTGCGCACATTACATTTACCATTTGGTTGCCACTTGCCAGGTCTGCAAAAGTTCAACAAACAATGTTGCCAGCCGTGCAAATGGACCCTCTTGGGTCCGACCCCCTTACTCTCTTGGGTTTGGTGAGTCAATGCAGCTAGCAGACTTTTGGGTGGGCCACCATTGAGCGTCCATGTGCCAATTGATTGTTCCGGACCCTGGGGCCTTGGGCCACCATTTCCAGGCAGGATGCTGACAAGCCTGCCCTACAAATCAGGTTAGAACCTTTGCGTGCGTCCTTGTTGAGGCTACCCTTTTTCGGGTGGTTAAGCGAAACCAAAGTCCCATTCCTGGCCCACCTGCTTGTTCCAGAGCTGCCCAGGTGCCGCATCTGGCAGCTTTAAAACAAAATGACACTGAAATTGGGACGGAATGATGTTGACCCCGGAGCAATACGAGTAATACACCCCAGTTTGTTGACATGGAGAAGTTCCTCTCCGAAAGTGACGAACCCTCACTAAAACCAGGATAAAAAGGAGTTTATTCATCCGGATTCAATATTACACTCTCAAGAACATGGCACCTGGCACAGGGTTCCTTGAAGAGCAATTCATCTTCCAGGTACCTTCCTATAGTGGGGGAATGATATGCACTGTCCCTGTCTTTGATAGTTGAAAGGGAAACTACAAGGACACCAATTCAAGGGATTGCTCTGCATAGCGCCTGCATTGCTCGCATCGAATCAATCGCCGTGAAGGCATGGGCTGGCAAAAGCGTGCGCAGCTGATGCTAAGGTTGCAACCGCTACGGTTGCCGCGGACAGTTGAATTGGAGAAAACTGAGTCTCAGCAAACAAAAAACACAAAAGACAATTTGAAGGGGCACATCGTTGGACGCATGGACATAGGCTTAGCCGCATAGCAGCTTGCTCAACCTGCGCTTTGAAGCAGGTGTACCCAAAATACATCTCCTCCAGAAACTTCTCCCATTCAACCAATCAAGTTCTTTATCCTGTTCTAGCCTGTATCCTGTGAATCTATCTGCATCTATCTGCAGCCAACGGGCACAGTGAGCTCACGCTTGAAGATTTCAATTCCCAGAACGTGGACAGGCCACTCGCGACAGTTCATAAAGCAAACTTGAGGCATCGGAATTGGATCTGTTGACTTACCCCATGGGTAGACGCAAATGCCCATTGGATCGTTTCTCCAGGAGAAACTGCTGGGTTTAAGTCTACCTTAATACAGCTTCAAATCCAACTCTGAGAGGAATCAACCAAAGGAACCTACAGGGCATCCTCAATTAAGCGGGCGTGCTGTAGATCTATTGATTGACTTGCCCGGAAAGCTCGTTCGCCTGATTTTGCGTGTAACCCTTGGGCCGGCCTGACACGCTCCACAGATCCAGGTCGCCACAAAAGCACGCTTTGGCTTCCTCAGACGGCTGGCCTCTCTTCCAAATCGCCGAGCCTCAACGCCCGTGTTGGCCTTCCAAGCCAACTAACGCTTGCGAGGGGCATTGGTTCTTTTTTCACGCTTGTCTTCACCAGATGGTCAAGTGTTGGCACTCCAAAATCACGGATACTCACATGCAACTTGTGATTGCACTCCTTGCGTTGCTGGGCCGGCCGTGATGCCTGGCCACAGTTCCCTTCATGGAACACCTGGTGCTAACTGGGTGCGCCCAAAAAAAATGTCAAGAACCCAAAACGTGGATATCCGCACGCATGTGGGTCCCCAACAAAGATGCTGTTCCTTTGGATTCAACCCTAAGGCTTGCCTCAAGAAGCCACTCCCCAACTGGCTGCTGGCTGGGGCTCTGCCATGAAGGCGCAGCGGCCGGTGCAGTTGGCCGACCTCACAGAGATGGGTGTGGTCCTGTTGCATAAAGCACCAAAAGCCATTCGTATGAAACCCAAAAGGGTCCCTTGGTACCAAGCCATCCTCAGGAGGTACTTGGACCCTCTGGAAAACATAATCTAGATCTCGCAAAATCTAAACCATACGCCATCAACTATGTGAGTCCAGAAACGTTGGCCCAGTTTTGGGGTTAGCAGGGATCATCAAAAGATCCGAACCCGCTGAAACCCCGCACTTGCATCCATGGACTTTTCAAGTTTCCCCCAATGTATCCTTTGTACTTCCGCAACATGCAGAAATGGCGACGCGACTTCAATTGAATCTAGTCCAATTTTACATGCAACACAATCCCTACAGCTTGCCTTAGGCGCGAATTCAGAATGAACAACACTGGTCAAAGCATCAAACACCAAAACAACCGGCCAAAAGGGAAACCGGATGAGCTGGAAATGGCCTCCGGCCAATGGACAACAGCACCCTCACTCAGCAGCAGCTGTTGGACTTCTTGCTCTTCGAGAGGTCCGGGCAAATCCTTTCTAACAGCTACCTCCAAGTTCCGTACACGTTTGGGCGACATCTACTCATGCGAGCAACATCAGGGATTCACAACATGGGCAAAAACATTTTTGAGGACACACCGTTAACAGGGTTGGTTATAAATAGTTCCGAGCAACCATTGTCAAACCGTTTTTGGCATATACGTCGACGTGTCCGAAAGTGCGGGGCATGGCAGGCGCATGTCGAAACTGGTCCAACCCCTACAAGTGGCCACGGCTTGGCTGAAAAGGGAAACCAGGATAAATTCACCATCAGTCGAACAAATAATTTAGACTTTGGTCCCCCATTTGCGCACAAAGCACGTGATCAGGGGAAAACATATGGTATACAACAAGGGATCACAGTAATTCCCCTTCAAACTTGTTGGCATTTGCTACGTGATCTCCACTTCAAACTCCCCACGCTCCAAGAACTCCATTTGCTTCAGCCCCCTGGAACAAAATAATGTCCAATAGTGATAGAGTCCCTTGAAAGCCCACAAGGGGCTAAAAAATAAGAC